TAACTGCTTAATGTTTTTGTAATTATACTTACCAAGACACTGGCAGAATTATTTACTAAAGTGAGAATGTCAGGTATTTATAGTGAATTCTAAGTAAATTTCAAATTTAAGGTCAAAGTAGCTGTACTGGATGTTGAACTGACTTAGATCATTTTTTCCAGTTTGGCAATTTTTGGGAATGCAAAGTGTGAAATTTACTTGACATTCCCAACAATTTTCTCTTTGGTAAATAACCATGTCTGTGTCTGACCCTTGACCCCACCCTGGGTCACAATAACACATTTGACATTTCTTTAAAAAAACCTCAAGAGAATAGAGGGATCATGGAAATGCCTGTTGTTTTTTTTAGCATTAATAGATTGCTGAAAGTTTATATAATGTATTTTAAAAGTATTTTATAGTGTGTACTAAAATGTGATGTACAGTATTTAGAGTATTTTATTCAGTGCGCTAAGCTTAGCATGATTTGAGACATTCTGTATAAATTAGGCTTGGGGCTTACTGAATGATTATAAACCCCCAAACACATCTGTGTAAGAAATTATTTAATCATCTGTTTGCTGGTGATCATAAATGAGCACCACAAATATTGTAAAATATTACCTTTTTGTTCTCATTCACAGGTACTAATAAAATTTGGTAATTTAACATATGAGCTTTGGTCTCAACATGGTATACAAGGTGCTCAATGGAAGAGAGCGGAAGTGTTTTTGGGAACTTTGTCTAACTTTCAGGTTTGTACTTACTTTCTATGTTATTTTGTGTTTTTTTCACATTTGTGAAAAACAAATAATATATGTATATATTCTTTTTTAATGAAAATTATAAAATATTATTTAATATTATTCATTTAATATATTAAGCCCTACAAATTAACTTCAGTTATATCATGTGCATTCACGCTATTCCGTTGCTGCGTATATTATTACTGTATATAATTATTACAGGGTTATTAATTCAACTTAGAATCGTAAGAAATATAACTTTTTAGGTCAGAAGAACCACATTTGAAATCCTTTCCAGCTCAGATGTTTTCCAGCTGGACATTTTTGGCCTTATGTTTTGCAAATTCCCTGGTCAATATCTAGTTTAGTGAATAGCTTGTTAGTGATATATTAATCTTCTTGAGGTTAGGAGAAAGAAAACTATGAATGCAATGTGACCAAATATGAAGACAACGTGACCATGAATTTAGTGGAAATAGTTTCTGCTCGTTATGGCTTACTGTTTGGCTGTCATTTTCAGGCTAACTTGAGCACAGGAATTGTAACAGATATAAATAATTTATATAGCTGTAAAGTTTACTTAATTTGAGTCAAACAAGTGCGTGACATCCTAAGATTGCAAGAACAGAGAAAAAGAAACTGCATTAACTGCGACACAGTTGGTACATAAGATATAATTGTTACATCTTAAAGGTAGAAGTATATAGAGCATAGTATAGTAATGATAATTAAATAAAAGTAACAGTTAAATATCAGTAGTATGATTACAAGCTGGTTAGGGGGGAACAGGGGAAGGAAAAATGGGAGAGAAAAAGGAGATCGGGTAAAACAAAAAAGTAAATGTACCATGGGAGAGGGCACACACAAGGCGGGAACACAAGTCCCGATGGAACTACCCAGGGCTAGATTTTTACTAAAGGTTGAGCAATGTGAGCCGAGGCTGCATATATTTTATGTTAATTAGTTTTCCCCTTTTTTTGCAATGCAAGTGGACATTCATATTTATGTCTCTGCATGTGTACAAAATAAAATAATTTTTGAACTGACAGGTGCATATGAATAAACACACATGCATACACACATGCACGCACGCACACACACACGAACGCACAGACATACACACATATGTACACTCACTATTATACTGATGGTATTTTTGTATCAACCTCCTAAGTAGCATATCATGCAAATATTTTCAATCAAAGAATTTACCCCATTGAATTTTCCCAAACTCTTACATTTGCAAATTTGACGTAATAGGAAATAAGAACAATCTGCCACATTTTTTTTTAATACAAGTTACAATTATTTGTGGGGTATTCAAGAAATACAGCAAGCATATGAGTGAATCATTTTAATTCCCTGGTATAGCAGGTTATATCTGTACTTTTCTCTCAAAATCACTGCATTGAAACCACCAATCTCTCTGGCACTCTCTAGAAAATTATTTTGTTCAATAAAACACCTTCAATAACCTTCGCAACCACACAATGCTGTGCCTCCCGTTTTCTAAGCCTTATGATATTCCACACAGAGTATAACAGAATGTCGTATTTACAGAATTAAAAATGAAATATAGTTCCATACACAATGTCAGCAGCATATCCATTAATTGGACTTACCATATGTTCAGCAATGTTCTCCCCGCCAAATAATTAGTACAATATGTATTTCTGTTAGAGAATCTAGCCTAACATTTTATATTCCTGTACATTTTGCAAAACAGTCTATCAAATGCAGAGAGGATAATGTGTTTTTTTTCTGATAATGTCTAGATAATGAAGCATTCTGTTGCCAAAAAATAAATAAATACAAAAAAGAAAGAAAAACCGAATTACAATACATTTTCCAAATTGTAGTTATATGTAGCCTTGACATTTTGATATCTGTTTTGTACAACAGAGTATTTTAATGATAAACAATATAAGAAAGTTAAAAAATAGTTGAAAATTACACATTTTTTTTTCCATTTTTCTTACATAAGTATAAACCATCACTTATTATTGTACCCCACTAATGATTATATATGATGTCATGAGCTTTCCCCCTAAACATGCAAAATATATGGATGTATATGGATAGGAGATAAATGGGTATTTGTGATATTTATAACATCAATAGACAATAAGTAGATAGAGATAATATTTATAACATAAGTATGTAATTAGTAGATAGGTATGATATTTAAAATGTGAGTATGTAATAAGTAGATAGGTATGATTTTTATAACATGGCTAGGTAATAGGTAGATAGTGATAATATTTATAATATAAGTAAGTAATAAGTAGATAGGTATGTTTTATAATAATGTGAGTATGCAATAAGTAGATAGGTATGATTTTTATAACATGGATAGGCAATAAGTGGATAGGTATGATATTTATAATATGGGTAGATACTAAGTGAATAAATACAATAAATATAACATGGATAGATAATAAGTGGATAGTAATACTATTTGCAATAAGGTAAGCTAATAAGTGGATAAGTATCATATTTACAACATGAGTAGGTAATAGGTGGATAAGTGTAATTATAACATAACGCACAAAGTGGATAAGTATTATATTTATAACATAAATAATATGTGAATAATGTATTGGTAATAGGTGGATAGTGATAATATTTATACTAAGGATAGGTGATAAGTGGATAGGTATGATTTTTAAAATATGGAAAGATAATAAGTGAATAATTATACTATTTATAACATGGATAGGTGATAAGTGGATAGTGATCATATTTATAATGTATAGATAATAAGTGGATAAGTATAATTATAACATGGATAGGTGAGAAGTGGGTAGACATAATATTTCTAACATGTATAATATATGGAATAAGTAATAACTAATAAGTGGATAATTATAATATTTCTAACATGTATAGGTAATACGTGGCTAAGTCTAATATTTACAACATATATAGGCATTAAGTGGACAATTATAAAATGTATATAATGGATAGGTAATAAGTAAATATTGATTATATATATATATATATACCATGCATAGGAAATAAGTAAATAGTTATAACATTAATTACATGGTTTGACTGCTTACATTAAGGTGGGGGGAGGGGGGTTGCTGGGGCACTCATTGCACCATTACTACTACAACGTGCTTTAGTGGTTATGGTGCTTTGAGTGTTCATTCAAATTTCCATTTTCCTGCCGCAATGAAACAGTTGATTTCACGTGTGCATTATTTGTTATTAGGAGCGAAGCTCAGCAGGAAAGAATTGATGTTGCAAGCTAATCTTTTTTTTAAATAAATCGTTATTCATTATATAAGTCGTCAGCTAAATTATTCACTCTTCATTTACTGTAATTATTGTTAAAATCTTTTCTGTATAGGCTTAAGATTACATTGCATTTTCCGTGCCTTTCAATCTCAGAAACTTCAAAAGGCTGCCAGATTTGATTTAGAATTCCTAATATGTTCATTAGCGAACATGAAAGTGTTGGCAGGTCCTTTGGTAAAAATGAACTAGAACTCATTTGATATGCTTCCAAGTGGTCATGGTGGCATAGAGCAAGCTGTAACCTTTGTTCGTAGCATTGTACATACTATACTTGCTTGATATTTGCATCCTGTTAGGTTATGTAGAGGGTAACTAGCTGTAGCTCACTGGCTCACCTACATGAGGTCTCTGAGGTTTATCTGTTGTGGATAGATGACCTGCCTTCAGTGTATGATTAGACAGAGATACGCACGTAATTATTTCTTGTGCAACAGAGCAAACAATCTAGAGCTTCATTGGGAAAGCTGTTGGAGTAAAACTCAGTTAGTGCCTCAATCATGATTGTCTTATTATAGTGAAGACTATGCCACTGTAATGTGTCTATAAATGGTCAATCCTTCACTAAAAGGGATACCCCACTGCCGAAATGCAATACCTACAGTTGTATTGTTTGTAGCCTTTGCAAGCCCTCCCCTTCTAACTCCGTCCAGACTTTCCGTTGCTGTCCAATAATAGACTTCCCAATGCAGCTAAATGAGAAGTCTTTGCAAGGCAGGTGTTCTAGGCAATTGCTGCCTCTTGAATTCAGTTCTACTGAGCTGTAGCAACCAGACTGGTTGTGTGCTTGAAAGCCGAGCGGTGTAAACAGGTTAATTTATAAAAGTGTCCATTTCTATTGAAATCTGCGCTTCAAATCTGACAAGGGAGAATGCACTAGTCCCAAGGAACACAATAAAGAAAGAAATGTGCCACAACACAAACATGCACGCCTCTCAGTCATAATGTATATTCATAAAATGTATTCAAACACGCATGGTGACACATGGTCAGAAGGGATCGGTAGCTGAGCCTCACGCTACGATCCAGGAAAGATGCCAATGTGTGTATAATGTGGGGAAACTAGTCCAATGTTTGCAGGTGAGTTTTTTGATTACTATATAGCCTTCAGGTTCAGGTTAAGGTTCAGGTTAAGATTCAAGATAAAAAAATTGTTTTTTTTTTACAGAGAAATGCTGTGAATGTCAATTTAAGAAAACTCTGGGCACAATTTAATCACAATGAACTTGTTATGGTGCGAGTAGGTTTCTGGTCCCGATCTATCTTCAGGGGGTTAAACTGTTTATGAATGGTTTAACCCCAAAGTCTACAACCCAGCACCCCTCAACTCTGCTCCTTCAATTTCATTTCAGTTCCTGATGGAAGCCTTGAACTTAAACAGAAGTCAGTGCCAGATTGAACACTTTTGGGGTTAAACAGTTATTTAATGATTTAATTTCTGAATGTAAACTGGCACTCAGTATCTCCTTGCACCATAACAATTTCATTTTTCTAAAGTTGTTATGGTGCCTGGAACACTTAAAAGGAACACTTCAAGCACCATGAGCAGTAAATCCTACTATGGTGGGTATGGCACCGTACCGGAGTAATTTACCAAACTGTTTAAGAATGGTTTGACAACTTACCTGGATCCCCATTGGGTGCCTGCTGCTGTACTGCTTACGGATTATCCTGCAAAAGAATCCCATTAGTTCCAATGAGCAAAGAAGGGTCATTCTCATTGACTGAGAGCTTCAGCTGTATCCGTCCCTATCTCAGGTGAGACATGCAGCAGTGTTGTCCAGGGGACCCACATACATTTTTAAATTGTCTTAAACTGTTTGACAAACTGCTTTGGGGTGCCAGGGAACTCCTGGAACCAAAGACACTGTGGTAGCTATAGAGGAAAACTATTGAGGTGGAGATGTTATACAAAGTTGGAAGACTTGACGTATTGATGTGCAGTTACACATTTTTCATATATTTGTGGTTGAATCCCTGTTGTGTTTTTAAGGATTTTCTTCTCAGGGTTACACATTATCAAACTCCAACTCATCACCAGTTATAGATATTCACGATACACTTTTGTTTTTGCAGATTGTTCTTCAAGCCTTACGTGGTGTTAGCTATGTAGGAGATGTGACTGTGGATGACATTTCCTTTGAAAACTGTGCGCCAATGCTGATTCCAAACAAGGATTGTACACCTGATGAATTTATGTGTTCAAATAAATACTGTATTCCTAAGAATAACTTGTGCGACTTTGTAAATGACTGCGCAGATAACTCAGATGAGAATCCTTATATTTGTGGTAAGTTCACCTGGTAAGAGAAAGATATATATGTACACATGTTTCCGTCCGTCTGTCTGTTTGTCTTTCATATTCCTATCTTTATGTTTATATTAATCACAAAGTAACGACTGATGAAAATTTTATTTTAGCATACCTAAAACAAGGAGTTATTCACTAAGGTAGAAGTAGCCAAGTTGTGACCATGGATAATTTGGAGGATTTTCCTAGGTCAGCTATGTATAACCCAGTTTTTCCATTCGTATTTAAAGGGACATTTCGTTGCCCAAATACAAAATAAATCCAAATCAGTGTTCAGTCGATAAGCCACAAATGACAGTATGTGTGTTTTCTGATTATAATTTTTTTACATTGGGGTAATATCTAAAAACATCTTGCAAAACCTGTTATTATCTCGTCTGCAGTCTTTGCAAGCCCTCCCCTTCTAACACTGCCCAGACTTTCTGTGGCTGTCCAATCACAGGCTTTCCAATGAAGCTCAATGATAAGTCTTAGCAAGGCGGGGCTCTGAGCAATTGCTGCCTTGTGAGTTTAGCTCCACTAAGCTTACCAAACCAGGAAGTAACAGGTCTGGTTGTCTGATTGACAGTCAGGGAAGTGTAGCAAGGTTAATTTAGAAAAGTGTCAATTTCTATTGAATTTTGTACTTTTTGCTAAATGAAAAAAAGAGGACACACTTTTCACATGTAAAGCTTTTCAGCAAGCTAAAATGCTTTTGGGGCCCCTTAAATGTGGAAAAATTACATGATTTTGCTATTACATGACGAAAAGTCATGATTTTATTAAAGACACGGAGGCGAGTATTGCATATCCCTTTCTTTACTGTCCACCAATACCAGCAAAGAATACAAACAGAATGAAAAAATAATGAACATGCAGTAACATAGGCCCCTCCCCGGTCAGGTCCCAGTATAAAAGGCAGCACTTCCCTTCCATTTCCCTCTTTCTGAAGATGCGACCAAGGTAAAATGTCCAGAACGAGAGTAGTGTGAGAACAAAGTCCCAAGACAATAACTTAAAACTGAAGAGGGTAGAACATCAATAACTGGGAAGCTTGACCATAGGAGTCATAGGACCATCGGATAACAGCGGGAGGAGTCCTTCTAAATCGAACAACTGCTTGCCGTCTTGCCGGATTAAGCTGTGAAAACATAAAGGAACAGGAGCCGACAGGTTAAAGTCGATACTTATAACTAGTTTCAAGGTTACACGGGTGAGAAAATAACCCACATATGCACAGTCCCACAAAACTACTGATATACCCAACATTACAGAAACATCATTGTCTAAGTATGGCCCCACTTACCGTACTGAACCATACTATATGGTGTATTGTAGTATGAGTAATTCTGGGAGGGAAAATTATTATTATTACAACTGTGTAAGAACGAAAAAGGGTGGGACAATCCTCGCCTCTGTGTCTTTAATAAAATCATGACTTTTCGTCATGTAATAGCAAAATCATGTAATTTTATAACAAGACACGGAGGCTCATATTGCAAGTTTAAAGTTGATCCATTACCGCAGCGAATGTATGTGGGGCCGGCCGAAAGTAAAATTCTTGCAATGTAGACTCCCTAGACCAGTCAGCCGTCCTCATAATGTCCTCCAGGCGTGCGCCTGCCGACATCATAGAAGAGGCTGATGCCCCCCGGACCGAATGGGCGCCAAATATCGTGGTATCAATACCTGCTTGGGACAACAGCCATTTCACCCATCATGACAAGGCAGTGCTAGAAACCGGGTGAAAAGGAGGACGGAAAGATAAAAACGGTAGAGCAATGTGGGTTGGTGCGAGTCTCGTATTCGCGAAGGCAGGCCACTGGGCATAGTGAAGGAGAGGTAGAGAAACTAGGGTAGGATACTGATTTGATGGAAGTCTTAGTCCGCTTGCTGATGTTGAAAGTTACCCCGTCCGGGGTATATGACTTGGCATCGAAGTCCAGTGCTCTGACATCCGAAACCCTCTTGCATGAGACGAGGCAGAGCAGGCAAACCAGCAGATAGCTGTTTGAGGGAGAGCCCTGAGTTAGCGGGCCAGGATGAGAGGAAAGCCAATACGACTGAGATGTCCCAGGTCGTGGAGTAGCGGGGCCTGGGTGGTCGTGAAAATCGAGAACCCTTGAGGAGTCGGCACACTAAGGGGTGCTGTCCCGCGGGGCAGCCATCGAAGCCTTGGTGAATTGCCGAGATAGCAGATCGGTAAAGGCTGATAGTCCTGTAAGCCTTTCCAGCCTCGAAGAGGGATGTCAGGAACTGCAGGACCATTGTTACAGAGGCTGAAAAGGGATCCGCGTTCCTAGCCATGCACCAGCCAGCCCAAGCTCGCCAAGCTGACCCATATGCCCGTCTAGTGCCGGGAGCCCATGCTGCTGCCAATAGGCGTCTAGTCATGTCCGAAACTCCTTGGATTTCCCAGGGTCCCTGGAGATCCGCCATGCCAGGAATGGGAGAGAGCCTTCTAACCGGAGGGGGTGATATCATCCCGTCGGGTCCTGCAGCAAGTTGTGGTGTCCCGGTAGTAGTCGGGGATAGTCTAACATCATCTCGAGCAATTGGGGGAACCACGACTGCGTTTCCCAAAATGCGGTGACCATGACCACTTCTGCCCGGTGTTTGCGGGTCTGTAGGAGTGAGCGCGGGATCATGGAAAATGGGGGAAAAGCATATAGGAGGCCTCCGTTCCAGTCTTGTAGGAAGGTGTCCACTGCCTCCGCTATTGGATCTGGCCTCCAGCTGAAGAAGTGTGGGAGTTGGGCGTTGAGCCGGGAAGCGAAAAGGTCTATGGTAAACGGTCCCCAGAGAGACGATATATTGGAGAACACCTCCTTGGCCAATCTCCAGTCGCTGGTGTCTGAGAGATAACGTGAACCCCAGTCCGCCTGGACATTGTGCAGACCTGGTAGGTATTCCGTTTAGACCATCAGGTTCCGTTCCAGGCAAAATTCCCAAAAGTCTTTTGCCAATCTGGCCAGGACTGCCAGGTGGTTGATATATCTCACCGCCGAAACATTGTCCATGCGGAGCCGAATACATGATAGGGCTCGGTCCCTGGCGAAGCTGCGAATGGCGAAGGAGCCCACAGGAGTTCCAGGGTGTTGATGTGCAATCGGGATTCGGATTCCGACCAACGGCCCCCTGTTGAGACTCCCTCACAGTGGGCTCCCCAGCCGTGGAGACTCGCATCTGAGTCGATCGTGAATTCTGGCATTGAGCCGAAGATGGCTTTGCCATTCCATGCGGACAGGTTGAGAATCCACCATCGCAACTTGTCTTTCGTCTCGCTGTCAAATGATACCAGATCCGCGTAGGATGCCCCGGATCTTAGGTGAACGATCTTTAGGCGCTGTAGCGCTCAGTAGTGGAGTGGACCTGGGAACACGGCCTATGAGTCGTGCAAGTTGGCGTAAGGTGAGCTGGGGCCGGATGAGGGCCCTGCGTAACTCTTTGCGGATGGATCGAATTTTGGATATCGGGAGGCTCAGCGTTGCTTCCCCCAAATCCACCAGGAATCCTAAGAATTCCATGCGGGGGTCAGGCATGACTTTTCCCAGTTGATTATGAAACCTAAGCGTGAAAAGGAGGTTTATGGCCAGCCGTAGATGTGTGAGGAGGGTGGAATGCTCCTGAGCCATGAGGAGAATATCGTCTAGGTAGACGATTAGTTGAACTCCTCGACTGCGCAGCCAGGCAATCACAGGCCGTAATAGCTTCGTGAAGCACCACAGTGCTGAGGAGAGGCCAAAGGGTAGGCAAGTGAACTGCCATGTCTCGTGCCGCCAGTAAAAGCGTAGGAGGTCTCGAGATGCCGCCGCTATCGGCACTGTCAGGTATGCGTCTTTTAGGTCTAGCTTCGCTAGCCAATCTCTGTGGAGGAGGAGATCTCTTAGTAGGTGAATACCTTCCATCTTAAAATGGCGGTACCTGACTATGGCATTGAGGGGGCGCAAATTTATGACGGGTCTCAATTGGCCGCCCTTCTTTTCCACCAGGACGATATTGCTTATGGCACCTGCGGGGTTGAGGGGTGCTTGTTCTATAGCCCCTTTGATAAGGAGGGTTGAGAGTTCCTCGTCGATCCGTCTGCGATCCTGGAGGGAAAAGCAGATCGGTCGAGGAGGGGGAATGTGTATGAGATGATTGGTGAGTTCTATACTGAAACCCCGAATAGTGGTCAGTACCCAGGGGTCTGAAGTGATTTGTGACCAGGCTGGGAAAAAATGTTGGAGTATGCCCCCTACGTAACCCGGAGAAGAAATGTGTGGTATGAGGTAACTCACCGAATGGTCGTCTTGAGCTTGGGTTACCCCGAAAGCCTCTGGATCGCCATGGACGTCCGCGGGATGGAAAAAATGTGGGGCGGGAGGTGGAATCCTGGTGCTGGTTACGGTGCTGGAAGGAGCCTCTTCCCGTGCCACGGGATTGGTGGTAACTGCGGACGGACAGACGGCTCCTGAATCTGCCGGCCCTGGTAGAGGCCCGCCCCTGGAATACTCGCCTCATGGAGGCTTGGGCCTTGTCTAGAGCCGTGAATGCTCCAATGAAGCGCCCTAAATCTTTTATAAAGGAATCTCCGAAGAGAAGTCCTTGGGCGTCTTTACCTGCTTCCATAAGGGCGAGGTTGGCTAGTTTGGGCTCAATTTTGAATAATATGGCCTTACGCCTTTCTATAGATAGGGAGGTATTTACACTCCCAGCAATGCATATTGCTCTCTGGACCCAACCTCTAAGGTCTTGGGGGTCACCCATGCGGTTCTCCCCTCTGGCGTCTTCCGCCAAGTCAAATAATTTGGCCAAGGGGCCAAATATGTCCAGGTGTTTGTCCTGGCAGGATTTCAATGCCGACTCCATTCCTTTATGGGGATTCCAGCCCATTTTAGTGAGGAACTGGGTCATCTTGGGGTCTACCTCCGGAGTGTCACAAACTTTGTTAGGCACCACAGGCCTAGGACACTCTGCCCTCAATTTGTTGCGGACCGCTTTACTTAAGGGTCTTCTGACCCAATTTTCCAGGTATGTGGCAACGTGGTCAGCCGGGAGCCACTCTGCCGACCTCGGATGGTGTAGATCATCCGGGTCGAAGAGTGGGACACCCGAAGGATCCACAAGGGTGGACCCCGCAGCCCCAGGGTTCCTGATCCCTATCTCGCCTCCGGGCATCTCTGCCTGAGCAGAGGAAAGGAGGTCATGACCAGCATCAGCGGCATCCGCATCAGAGTCAGTATCCGACTCGCTCTTAGCCTACTCATTTGACCCGATTTCTGAGTCAGTGTCGGTCTCTATCTGTGCTCTGGCACATTTCCATAGCCGCGCCCGTTCTGCCTGGCGTGGAAAGGCTCTTTTGCATGGATGGGACACGCTTTCTGGAGCGACCGAAGGTATGCCAGTCATGGTGTTTCTGGAGGCAGAGGGGTGCTTGGACTTACAGGTAGCCTTTTTAAACACCTCTTTAAACACCTCTCCTTGGGGTTTCACAGAGGGACGCGGTAAAGGCGTCGAGAGGCCCGAAAGTTGCTTGTCTGAAGGACGTGGCAAGAGGGCCTTTGAAATGGTGTGGGAGAGGGTGGAGGACATAGACCCCATGGCCGCCATAATGGCATCTGTCACTGAGCAATGCAGCGCTAGGAACTGTGCCCCATCATGGTGGGTAGTTCCATCAGCCATAGTAGGCGAGTTGTCTGAGGTGACAGGAGCCTCACTCCTAATGAGTGGGGTATCAGACTCCCCAGAGGGAGTGGACCCAGCGGATAGTCTGGGTTTAGACATGCTGAGAAAATTAGCAGGGAATAATAGGTAAGAGAAAAGGTATGGGTTAGTCACCCAAACAGCTAGACAAAGCTAAAAACGCTCTCACCAGGGCCCAGACCAGTGACACACTAAGATGTAGGAGACAGGAAGTCTGAAAATGGCCGCCGGTAATCTCGCGGGATTCGCGGCACCCGCGAGATTCACGGCAAAACTACCGAACGTTCGGTAAAATAAGGTGAATTCAGGAACCAGATAGGTAAGTATATGGGAATATAGAGTAGGCGAACGTACCGTTCGCATAAAAAATTTGAATGCGGAAAACATGCGAACGCTCTGTTGCCGAATGGGGAATGAGATGTGTGTGGCGAATCAGCCGAATAGGCTCAATTCGCACGCATACACGGCCGGGGAGAGAACGTGCGCAAAATGGCACCAGGACAGAAAGACAGACAGGAGACAAGACTACATTGACAGGGGAGGTCTGGGCCCTGAGACTAACAGAAAACAGATAAAGACATAGAGGTACAATGAGACAAATACTAAATAATTGTAATACAAAATGAAAATGAAATAAATATAAATAAAATGAATAAATAAATACATAAATACAATAAATACAAATAAATGTAAGATAAATATGGTAGGAAAACTATAGAACGCTACCAGGTTTAAGTGGTAAGCAGACTGACAGAAAATATCAATGAGAAAAAAACAGTATAATAAGAAAATATGAAGAGAAAAAATGACATGTACTTATCTTTGTGTCGGAGCAGCAAAGAAAGAGGGAAATGGAAGGGAAGTGCTGCCTTTTATACTGGGACCTGAGCGGGGAGGGGCCTATGTTACTGCATGTTCATTATTTTTTCATTCTGTTTGTATTCTTTGCTGCTATTGGTGGACAGTAAAAAAAGGGATATGCAATATGAGCCTCCGTGTCTTGTTATAAAATTCAGAATTTAGTGAATAAGCCTGTTAATAAATACTATATAAAATAAGTAACAAATACACATAAAATAAGTATCTGAAGTAAATAACTATAACGTGCTATCATCTAAATAAATGTAAAATATAACTGCCTTTTTTCTCAGTTATGTCACATTTGTTGTGTAATATGTTATGTTTCAGGATCATTTTTATCACACTGTAACTTTGAATACGATATGTGTGACTGGAAACAAGATGAAAACGATGACTTTGATTGGAATCTTCGAGCCGGGAGTACGCCAAGCTTTGGTACTGGGCCAGCTACTGATCATACCATGCAGAACCCTTTTGGCTATTATGTTTTCATAGAGAGCACTTACCCACATTTGCCAGGAGAAATAGCAAAGCTCTCAGGACCAATGATAAGCAGATGGAGCAAAGACTGTAAAGTAAGTATGTTAAACAGTCAAAGCATAATTAAAGGAGCATGCATCCTTTTGAGACAACTGTTTCATTCAAAGTCTTTTCAAACTAAAGCAGGTAAATATGATTTTTTTTCATATTTACCTGCTTCTTCTCCCATGTGTTTTCCTACCTGAAGGAGAACATTGATCCAAACAATTGATGTCCTATCCCTGGGTAGGCAGAAACATTGCATTGTGCATGGTCGACTCGCCCACCCATGCACAAATGAAAGATCGTCAGTGTCAATAAGTGACATTGTGATATCCTAAGATTAGTGTTGGCTGTGTATTTGCATAATGCACGTTCATGGTTGGCGTTCCCTTAGACGAAAACCTTTACCTTGATGATGAGCGTCTCCCCTAGACAACAAGCGTTTACTTGTTAACAAAGTGCTCGTTTGTCTCACTGAGCTTCTATCACAAATTTACAGCTAGCCAAGCTCTGCAAAACACGTTCATGCTTACATTCTGCTAGTCTTCTAAGTTAGGTCAAGTCCAAATATTGTACCATGAAACTCTCTTCAGTGAAGCAGTGAATGACAGTGATTGTCTAGTTTTAGAAATTTATTTATTGCTATCCAAACAGAAAGGATAATGGTCAGCATTTTTTTTGCATGACTAATTAAATGATGATGATCTAAAGCGTAATTAGTGAAGCCCAGAAAGCAGCCATGCAGAAAGGTTACATTGTGCAGATATTAAACGGCATGTTACTAACCACAAACAAACCATCACAGTTAATATAGTGGGGCGTTCTATACAAAACTAGATCTCACAAGAAATGTATAATCTGTTCTTTACTTTCCCTGTTCCATTATAGAATAACCCACTTAATTAATAACTGAAGAGCTGTATAGAGCTGCCGGTACTAAGTACTAAAACTCTCCCATGCTCAGCACCCATTATCACCCTGTCATTCACACCCACACTCACCCCTTACACTGTCAATTTATCACTTTTACTCTCCCAGCCCTCACACTTTGACTGCCGCAGTCACCATGTCACACTCACTCTGTCACAGTAAGCCTCATACACAGTCAACCCCCGACATACAGTAAACCTTATATACACATAGTCAACCCTCACACACAACACAACCTTGACATAAGAATAACTCACACATCAAGACCAAAAGCATCCCGTCAAACACACAACACATTGCAAGAGTTCCTCCAGATAAACATCCCCACACTTTCCTCACACACAGTCAACCTGTCACACTTAACCTCCCACACTCACTCCCATACTCACACTGTCACAGTCACCGTCATACACAGGCCCTATCTGTATCTGCCTATTTCTCTCAAATATTGTTCACAAATCTGTCTAAATCTGTGTTAGTGAGCACTTCTCCTTTGCCAAGATTATCCATCCACCTCACAAGTGTGGCATATCAAGATGCCGCTTAGACAGCAAGATTATTGCAAAGGTGTGCTTTAGGCTGGCAACAATAAAAGGCCATTCTAAAATGTGAAGTTTTACTCTATAGGGGAGGTCCGGGGGGGTCCAAAAGCCAGTCAGTATCTGGTGTGACCACTATTTGCCTCACGCAGTGCAACACATCTCCTTCGCATAAAGTTGATCAGGTTGTTGATTGTGGCCTGCGGAATGTTGGTCCACTCCTCTTCAATGGCTGTGCAAAGTTGCTGGATATTGGCAGGACCTGGAACACACTGTGGTATACGCCGATCCAGAGAATCGCAAACATGCTTAATGGGTGACATGTCCGGTTAGTATTCTGGCAATGCAAGAACTGGGATGTTTTCAGCTTCCAGGAATTGTGTACAGATTCTTGCAACATGGGGCCATGCATTATCATGCTGCAACAGGAGGTGATGGTCATGGATAAATGACACAACAATTGGCCTCAGGATCTCGTCACAGTATCTCATGCAGATGAGCTTCCCTGAGATGGTTTCTGACAGTTTGTGCAGAAATTCTTTGGTTATGAAAACCTATTGTTGCAGCAGCTGTCCGGGTGGCTGGTCTCAGACAATCTTGGAGGTGAAGATGCTGGTGCTGGTGTGGTAACACATAGTCTGCGGTTGTGAGGCCAGTTGGATGTACTGCCAAATTCTCTGAAACACCTTTGGAGACAGCTTATGGTAGAGAAATGAACATTCATTCACGGAGAACAGCTCTGGTGGACATTCCTGCAGTCAGCATGCCAATTGCACGCTCCCTCAAAACTTGCGACATCTGTGTCATTGTGCTGTGATAAAACTGCACATTTTAGAGTGGCCTTTTATTGAGGCCAGCCTAAGGCCAACCTGTGCAAATCATGCTGTCTAATCAGCATCTTGATATGTCATACCTATGAGGTGGATGGATTATCTTGGCAAAGGAGAAGTGCTCACTAACACAGATTTAGACAGATTTGTGAACAATATTTGAGAGAAATAAGCCTATTGTGTACATAGAAAAAGTTTTAGATCTTTGAGTTCAGCTCATGAAAAATGGGGGAAAAATCTAAAGTGTTGCGTTTATAATATTGTTCAGTGTATTTCATGAGAGGCTATAGTTGTATGAAATATAAACACTGACTTGCACTTGATCTCAGTGAATATACCTCCAATTATTTCCTGTACATTAATCAAAGGTATGTTATAAAGACTAATAATAAACTAACAGGATACGAAGTGTGAAAAAAGGAATATCGGTATTCTTCTAAATTATCCCACAAATCAGGATAATTAACTTTCTCATTTGTCTTTTGTCATTGACATACATTAAATAGGCTAATAGTTTATCTAATTGCTCTTGGCTTTGATATGCATGTTAATTCAAATTAATATTTTTCCATTTTTCCATTACTCTATCCAGCTAATATTTTATTTCCATATGTATGGCGGAGGTATTGGATCGCTAACTGTAAGGCAGGTGACAATTAGTAACCAACAACAGACACTTCTAAACTTAACAGGAGAACAGGGAAACTACTGGCAAAGGAAAGAACTGACTCTCCAAGATCTCGGGGAAGATTTCTATGTCACCTTTGAAGCAAGAATTGGAAAAAATCAAAGAGGAGATATTGCCCTGGATGACATTGTCTTTTCTAATGAATGTTTACCTTCATCTAATCTGGCACTTGAATCTCACAAGAAGCCACATTTACAAGGTACATTTGTCATGGGATGATGGTACAATGGGCACACACACAGTCAATCTTTTTCATTGTGAAAATGTTCGTTAACAATGATTTAGCATTTGACACATCAGCATATATGACATAGGGATAATGACTGAGGTTTATCTAAGTGTTCTGAAATACATAATTGGGGGGGGGTTCATGAATTATCCAGTTTGCGCAAAGTGTTTTAAAGGTTGTCTAAAAAGTAAAGTATCACCTTTCTATGTTGTGTATTTCAACAGATTTTTGCACATTCACAATTTTGTGTCACTGACTGCAAATACCGGTAGTATTTTCCCTAGCTGCCAAAAGTGGTTGGAGAATGCCAGAAAATAGAATACTTTTCTGTGGCAATGAAGTGCAGAAATATTACTAAAATGAAAGCACTATGCAAAAGTAGATAAAATGACTAAATTAAATAAAAGTAATTAAAGATAAATCACAAAAGTTATAAATATTTGAAAGGACTTTCGTAATTGATCACTCACACAAAGAAAATAGAAAAGAGTCAGGTTAGTTACCAACACTGGATTATGTCAGGATGGACCAATTTTGAGGACAATAGCCAAACCGGTTTGAAAATCAGAGCTTGTTGTATCCAAGTCCTATACAATGTTTAGGTTTTTGGAATATGTTAAAATATGCATAAAGCATTGATTTTACAATTAATGGAGACCAAATGCTTACAGCAAGATGCAAGTTCGCAAGTTATTGTTCACTTTGTTTCGTATAGCATTTCTTCACAGTTATTATATTTTTTGAAGTTCCCCTCACTTTTATTATTATTAGAATTAGGGTGGTAAGTATGCTTATTTTTGTAATTTGGATGTGGTGGCTAGGGGCTTAGAAAGCACTAGTCACGGAGTGGGGCAATTGTCCATAACTTGGGGGGTGGACAATGACATGTCCATCACACCGTATCACATTTAATACTCCGCCCTAAGTCCCTGATTGGGGGGTGTACAACAGCATATTCACCCCCATTAATTATTAAACAGCCTCTTAAGGTGGCGGCTTGGGGGGGCATTAGTTATTCACATTATTAAATAGTCCCCACCCATTCCCTATGGGTAAGGGCTGGAGGACATGATGTTGATGTGGTTTAATAAGTAGCCTTCACCTAGTTTGATGCTCAATTTTTTATATATAAGCTCTCATTAACCTGTTAGGGGTGTCAATTCCAATACCTATGATTTCATTTAAAGACCGCACCCAATGCTCACAGGGTAGGACCATTATTTTAGTTAGCCACCACTTGATCAACCCTTGCGGAGCTGAGGGTTTTCTAACTACTTGTTTGCTGACTGCTAGCATTGCCAGTGGTGTAATAATTAAGATTTTTTAAATGTTTACAATTAAGTTTTGGATATCAGCAGTTGGACCCAACTGAGGCTCATTCAAAGCCTTGTTTGCAAAATCCGGACATTGTTAAATAGTGTGAACAACGTTTAAATTTTGTATTCTGAATGACCATATGGCACTGAATGTTTTTTCCCCATTTGGTACATGGCCATTCAGACTTGAGTAAATTACCCTGTGAGTTAAATCTCCCCCCAATTTATTTAGTTCTCCACCAAACAGTATACAATGATTTATAAAGAATACACGCTTTGCGACCTCATATGATTCATATAAAGGAATGAAGGTTTTCTTTATTTCCTCCTACAGGTTTTTGCCCATTGGGCTTTTTACATTGCCGTACTAAAAAATGTTATACACAAGAACAACAATGTGATTTTTCGGATGACTGTGGAGATGCTACAGATGAAAATGATTGTGGCACTTCCTGCACATTTGAAGATGGAATGTGTGGATGGCAAAACTCCCCAGCTGACAGCTTTAATTGGATTTTAGGGAACTCTACTCAAGCTTTTAGACCTCCTAAGGACCACACTATAGGAAGTGAAGAAGGTATATTTCTTACTTTTATTATACTTTGCAGCTATATAACGCACTTGTTACATAGTAACAGAACCATGGTACTGTATGCCAGTAACTACTTTTCAGCAGGTGTGTAAAATGCTGCAATGTATGAATACTTTTAAAAACAGAAACATTAATACTTTCCTTTTACCAGTTAACAAAATGCAAAATTAATGACCAAAGAAAATGTAAATCAAGTCAATATTTCGTGTAACCAGACTTTGTTCATGATTAAACAATTTTCAAATTCGACAGACGGAATCTGGTCACTGAACAGTAAATTGTGGTATAAATTAAAAGCTGTATTGAACAATTTATGACCACATGACCAAATCACAAATACCTAGCAACTATACTCCATTTCAGCCTCTACTATTATTGCCTAACATTTGCGAATTGGATTTAGATTCTCTACCACTGACGGATTAGTAAATACCGCCATTTATTTGCTTGTACACCTCTGCTCATTTCATGTCTGCACTTTTAATACCGTTGTTTGCTATATCTAGATATGAAAGTTTCTGTTCACTAAATGGAAAATTATGGTACATTGAAACCCATCTTGCAAAATGTTACTTAATTAACTAAGCTGAAAAAAACCCCAAAAAAAACATTGGCTGAAGCTTTTTTTTCAGATCTCTGTTATTTTATGCAAATGTTTTCAAGACAGTTTTCAATTTCCCTGCTTGTTATTTAATGAACATAACCTACTTGCTGGAAAAATAATCATTAATTATGGTGTGCATTTATTAAACAGTGAGTGGAAATATTCAAGATGGTAAATTCTCTAGTTCGAGGTGGATGATATTTCCCAACTTTGTTTCTTCTTCCTAACTTTTGCCAGCTGTTTGACCACTCGTCTTAACCTATTCAGTAAACTGTCTCCACTGATATATATTTTACACCTAGGGTAAATAGCCATTGTTCTCCTGTAATTTTCAGAAAATAACTGAAGCCTGCGGTATTTAAATTCCAATAATAATAAAATACAATCACTCTGGTCCGTCTACTTTAAAAAATAATTATTCAGAGACAAACACTCAGCAACATATAAATAAATGTCACACAGACTAACTAGCGCAACAAACCCACTAACTACAACTAAGCACATAACACACAGAAACATACAAGTAAATGGCACATAAACCAACTTAACCCCTTAAGGACGGAGGGCGTACTATTACGCCCTGCAGGAGCCGGCTCTAAACGCCGGCGGGCGTAATAGTACGCCCTTACTTTAATGGCCGCCCACGTGGCCGGCGCTAGTCGCCCGCTGCAGATCGCGGTCGGGGGGGATGCCCGGCCCCCCAGGCAACCCCCCCTGTGGCCGGTGACCGCGATCTGCAGTCACTGATCGCAGTGACAGGCTGTCACTGCGATCAGTTTTTAACGTGTGTCAGCCGATTTCAAATCGGCTGACACACGTGGCCAGCGGCTACCCCGTGCAGATCGCGGTCGGGGGACTTACCTGGCCCCCCAGGCAGTCCCCCTGGGGTCAGTGACCGCGATCTGCTAATTCTGAGATCGCAGTGACAAGCTGTCACTGCAATCTCAGAGCGCTCTGATCGCAGTGACAGCCTGTCACTGCGATCAGTGTTACATGTGTCAGCCTATTGGCTGACACATGTAACTGGCATAAAGATCCCCCTGCAGATTGGAAGGGGGGAGTGCTTGGCCAATTACCCAATCTGCAGGAGGTGATCACAGTGACAGGCAGTCACTGTGATCACTGATCCTGTGTGTCAGCCAGTGATGTAAAATCACTGGCTGACACTGTCTCTGCCCCCTCTCCTGTAAAAAAAAAAAAATATTAGTTAAAAAAAATAAAATTACAGTTACAAATAAAATATACTTAGATCATATATATTATATATATGATCTAAGTATATATATATATATATACACACACACACACACATTTACACATACACGAAGTGTATTTAAATATTAATATATATAATTATTTATATATATATTACTATTGAATTACACGTAGACTGATACTAATTAAATATATATATATATATATAATTATTGTTATATATATATATATTTATATATAATATAAAAAAATGTAAATACGTAAAAAAAAATAAAAAAAATAATTAAAATTAAATAATTTAAAAATATATAGATGTTTGTTATTTCGTTCTAACTGTATTGTGATATTAATATATATATATTTATATCAAAATACAAGTAGAACGAAATAATATATATATCTATATACATAAATATATACGTATATATCACTATATATATACACCTATATATAAATAAAAATATTAAAATATATATATATATATATATATATATATGTATATATACACATATGTATATATATACATATATTAATTCTACACATATATTTATGTAATATTTTTACATAATTAGGTATCCTAATTAATTACAATTAGCGGGACCTGCCTGACAACCCATGCCGAAAGTATAGTGAATTTAATTTGCTAGCACTATATTTAACCCTATAACTTTCCAAGACACCATAAAACCTGTAAATTGGGGGTACTGTTTTACTCGGGAGACTTCGCTGAACACAAATATTAGTGTTTCAAAACAGTAAAATGTATTACAATAATGATATCGCCAGTAAAAGTGAAGTTTTTTGCATTTTTCACGCACAAACAGCACTTACACGGATGATATTATTGCTGCAATACTTTTTACTGTTTTGAAACACAAATATTTGTGTTCAGCGAAGTCTCCCGAGTACAACAGTACCCCTCATGTACAGGTTTTATGGTGTTTTCAAAAGTTACAGCGTCAAATATAAGGCTTGCGTTTCATTTTTTTCACATTAAAATTCGCCAGATTGGTTACGTTGCCTTTGAGACCCTATGGTAGCCCAAGAATGAAAATTACCCTATGATGGCATACCATTTGCAATAGTAGACAACCCAAGGTATTGCAAACGGGGTATGTCCAGTCTTTTTTAGTAGCCACTTAGTCACAAACACTGGCCAAAATTGGCGTTTTTTTGCATTTTTCACACAAACAGATACTAACGCTAACTTTGGCCAGTGTTTGTGACCAAATGGCTACTAAAAAAGACTGGACATACCCCATTTGCAATACCTTGGGTTGTCTACTATTGCAAATGGTATGCCATTATGGGTGTAAATTTCATTCCCGGGCTACTATACAGTCTCAAAGGCAACGTAACCAATCTGGCGAATTTCAATTTCAAATGTAACGTGCTATATTTGACCCTGTAACTTCCCAAAACGCCATAAAACCTGTACATAGGGGGTACTGTTTTACACGTGAGACTTTGCTGAATACAAATATGTGTATTTTATTGCAGTAAAAGCAAACAGTATTATGACATTGACAGTTAAAATGTCATGTAGAACTAAAAAAATTTTAAAAAATCTTATTTTCTCCCATTTTTTTCATATTAAATTATGTTTCATAGCTAAATATTTGATATTAAATGAAAGCCCTGTTTCCCCTGAATAAAATGATATATAATAAGGGTGGGTGCATTTACTATGAAAGAGGTGAATTACGGTTGGACAGACATGTAGCGCAAATGCCAGGTTTTGTTTACATTTTGTTTCGTTCACAACGTGTACATTTGGCTCCGTCCTTAAGGGGTTAAAGCAATAAACACACTATTTACAAATAAACACAAAACCACATTAGATCTCACCGACAGCAAAACTCCATTACATACCAACACATCCTTTTCACAACACACAGAAAGACAGAAAGGGAGAGAGAAGGCAGTGTTCAGGTATATTTAACTCCTGCCCTGTTGACTGAGTTAGCTCATTAAAGGAAAATTATAGTCAGCAGAACAACTACAGCTTAAATAGATACTATAGGATACTATAGGAATACATTGATGTATGCGCCTGTAGTAGTGTTCTCAAATCCAGAGTAGTATGGGGAATAAGAGAACAACGTAATATAGTGTAGTATATTTTAAATTCTTTGTGGTTATGAATAAAACGAAACGCACTTACAATTTTCTGGAGCTTATGATCAGCTCCAGATTTATGCACCTGGACAGTACAATCCCTGTCTGTGGATATGTTGACAGTTCTCGTGCGTCTTTGGAGGCATCTTTCCCAGTTATTGGAGTATTCTTGTGGTGTGCAGCAGACCAGCAGTTAGATGTCCTCAGTATATAGGGAGGAAAATTAAAACAGAATATAGTGCTCTCTGTATGTATTATATAGAAAAAATGTATAAAAGGAGATATTCCTCAATCCTAATATGCATAGGTGGTATAATCCCCACCAAGGATGTCACTGCGTGAGTCCTCTGGTTAAAATTTTCAAAGATAGGTCAAAAATCTCCAAATAGTATAAAAATAACTAGTTTTATTTGGAGAGAAATGGTAAAACAAAGTATATTATAAAATTGATAATAAAACACTAACGCGTTTCATCTACAGTTAGGCTTTTTCAAAGTGTTCAAATTAACTCTGGTTAACTAAAAGCAATAAAGGGATTATTTACTAAAGGAATATTCATCTATTGACAAGATTCACATTAGACCTTCTAGTGCCTCTTTTACGTTTGAGGCTCATGAAATGTTTTAATATTTTTTTTTGTTTAATACATGTTTTCTTTATAGGTCATTTTCTGTTTCTTGAAACATCGTTGGTTGGTTTAAAGGGTGAAAAAGCCCACTTAAAAAGTTCTAAATGGAAAGAGTCAAATGTGAATTGCAAGCTAATCTTCTGGTATTACACATCATCCAAAGCTACTGGACTCATACAAGTTCTTATCAAAGTAGGTCATGTACTTATTTCATTTTAAATACAGTATATACACAACACAATGCATTACTCATAAACCAATGTTATACTAAAGGTCCACAGTTTCATTGAAAATGCTTGTCCATTAGGGGCAATACTTGGCTAGAGTCAAATCATATAGAACAATTTTATTTCAGTAATTTTTTAGCCTTTTGGGATCTGCATTTGTGCCCAGCAGAATATAAAAGTTGTAAGCTGGGTATTATGGTTAGAATAGATGTATGTTAATTCCCTATTAAGTTATTTCTTTGGGACTGTGTATTGACATACAATCATCAAGTTAAGACAAAGAAAAGAAAAGTGTAATAACAAGTAGAAACGAGATAATGTAACATTGTCATTGATGGATTAAAAAAATGGAAATATCTAGATCACCTAACACTGAAGAGACCCGAGTTGGAGAATTTGGCTCCAATTTGTATAATTTTGGTCTAGAGTTTGTTACGTAGCTGTCATCTTACAATCAGTAAATTTCACTCAATCTATACTAAGTGGAACAAGTGTAGTAAATAATACACTGCTCAAAAATAGAAAGGGAACACAAAAATAACACATCCTAGATCTGAATTAATTACTTCATTCTTTTCATTCTTATGAAATACTTTGTTCTTTACATAGTTGAATGTGCTGACAACAAAATCACACAAAAATTAAAAAATGGAAATCATATTTTTCAACCCATGGAGGTCTGGATTTGGAGTCACACTCAAAATGAAAGTGGAAAAACACACTACAGGCTGATCCAACTTTGATGTAATGTCCTTAAAACAAGTCAAAATGAGGCTCAGTAGTGTGTGGCCTCCACGTGCCTGTATGACCTCCCTACAACGCCTGTGCATGCTCCTGATGAGGTGGCGGATGGTCTCCTGAGAGATCTCCTCCCAGACCTGGACTAAAGCATCTGCCAACTCCTGGACAGTCTGTGGTGCAACGTGACGTTGGTGGATGGAGCGAGACATGATGTCCCAGATGTGCTCAATTGGATTCAGGTCTGGGGAACAGGCGGGCCAGTCCATAGCATCAATGCCTTTGTCTTGCAGGAACTGCTGACACACTCCAGCCACATGAGGTCTAGCATTGTCTTGCATTAGGAGGAACCCAGGGCCAACCGCACCAGCATATGGTCTCACAAGGGGTTGGAGGATCTCATCTCGGTACCTAATGGCAGTCAGGCTACCTCTGGCGAGCACGTGGAGAAATGCCACCACACACCATTACTGACCCACTGCCAAACCGGTCATGCTGGAGGATGTTGCAGGCAGCAGAACGTTCTCCATGGCGTCTCCGGACTATGTCACGTCTGTCATATGTGCTCAGTGTGAATCTGCTTTTATCTGAGAAGAGCACAGGGCGCCAGTGGCGAATTTGCCAATCTTGGTGTTCTCTGTCAAATGCCAAACGTCCTGCACGATGTTGGGCTATAAGCCCTCATACCACCCTCATGGAGTCTGTTTCTGATCGTTTGAGCAGACACATTTGTGGCATGCTGGAGGTCATTTTGCAGGGCTCTGGCAGTGCTCCTCCTGTTCCTCCTTGCACAAAGGCAGAGGTAGCGGTCCTGCTGCTGGGTTGTTGCCCTCCTACGGCCTCCTCCATTTCTCCTGATATACTGGCCTGTCTCCTGGTAGTGCCTCCATGCTCTGGACACTACGCTGACAGACACAGCAAACCTTCTTGCCACAGTTCACATTGATGTGCCATCCTGGATGAGCTGCACTACCTGAGCCACTTGTGTGGGTTGTAGACCCCGTCTCATGCTACCACTACAGTGAAAGCACCGCCAGCATTGAAAAGTGACCAAAACATCAGCTAGGAAGCATAGGAACTGAGAAGTGGTCTGTGGTCACCACCTGCAGATACACTCCTTTATTGGGGGTGTCTTGCTAATTGCCTATAATTACCACCTGTTGTCTATCCCATTTGCACAACAGCATGTGAAATTGATTGTCACCCAGTGTTGCTTCCTAAGTGGACAGTTTGATTTCACAGAAGTGTGATTGACTTGGAGTTAGATTATGTTGTTTAAGTGTTCCCTTTATTTTTTTGAGCAGTGTATATATGTACTGATATTGACATTTCATCATAGTGTGGAAGATACTGGTGTAACCCAAGTAAAACAGGGTATAGGAATGTATTAAATAATTGGTTATTACAACTTGTTTATTTTTTTGTTGAATCATTACTATTGGTCATGTCAGGTACAAACAAAAGATAGTTTAGCTTGTGGGTATTACCAAAATATAAATGAACTATTAAATAGTCTGCAACCAGACAATGCATCAGCCAATGAATGCAGATATACAAGCTCATATTGACTTCTAGTATAAAGGGAGAAAATAGAAAAATAAAAGAAAGAATGGGAAAAGAGAAAGAGTCGATTGACAGAAAAATAAGTTAATATTTGTGAACCAGTAAAGATGTAGCACATACCAATGACAACTTTCAGTTCAGTTGCACTGATTTTGTGAATCTTTCCATTTGTCAGACAGATTATTTTTCTTATTGAAATGCATCATTTGTTGGATTTACATCTATACCACTTCCTATGGAATTTTAATGAATGATATAAAGCCTACATATAGGACCTCCGATTTATGCCAATAGCAACAAATATATATTCAGTTTTATGTACCTCCAATTGCAGCGTTCTCATTTTTTGTGTTTTTTTTATTTTGTTTGATTTAGTTTAAATTTATTATTGTGTAACGCACACTGGATCTCTTACAGTTCTCCAGAGATTATTTGTAATATTTTTTCCACTATGTGAGTTCATTTGATTTTCTTCTGTAGTTCACATTTATGACTAATATGTATCTCAACTGAGAAACCAAATTTGCCTTCTTGTTATTAAATTACAAAGTAATTCTGCTAAATTTCCTGGGAGGCATATGCTGAATTAACATTCCTAAATGTCTCAGAGACAGATAGATATATATTTGTCACTAAAGAAATAAGGTTTTGGTCCACCATTCGAAATGTTCTGATGTTATTATGATGTTATCTGTGCTGGGAATAAGAGTGAAGTGGATCAATACCTGAATTGAGTAACTGAGTTTAAGTTTTCTTCAAGGAGTTTTTAAAAAATATTGCAACTGTATTTAAACCACTTGGGCAATTATTTTAGCAATGAGAGAAGTATCTATAAAATACTATAAATCCTTTGAGCACTTAAAGCTGTGTTTAGAAACTCATGACATTTATACAGAGACAGACAACAGAAAATATCAGTTCTCTTTATTACAGAAACTTTTATATTGGGATCAACAGTGTTGATTTGTAACACACACACACACATACACAAACACACACATGAACATGCACAAAAAACATATTGTAAGTTTGAGTCTAAATAGTTATTATTAGAGTTTAAGAATATTGGGATTTATGCAATATATTGTGAACTGTGTAGAAGTGACAATGAAATTGAAGACATTCGGCCAATAAAGACAAAATGACTGTATATGTTGACCTAACACTTGTAAAGCTCTTATCAATTCTATATTCTTCTCCACTGTCTTGGGTCATTGAAACCAATAAAATATCTAGATTTTGCCAAAGAAATGTAAGTGCAAATTAAAATCCTACTTCAATGGGCTGATTAAATGCTACAGACAGCAGTCAATCAAGGAAGTTCATTCTCATAGTGCATGTGCAGAATTTTGGGAAGAAGATTGTGTAAGATGCCAAACTGTGTACAAGTAAGAAAACAGGATTATTTTAAAAAAGCACATTCTAAAATATATATCTAAATTAGCTATAAGATTGTGCTGTCACTTCCACGTGACAGGCTATTTCAAGGCACAGTGAGAATACGTAGGTAGAGATAGTTAAAGCCATGCATTTAGTTATTCACAAAAGTGAGAGTTTAGGGTGAATTCAAAGTGAACCTCAAAGTTAAGGTCAAAATAGCTGAATAGTTGAAAAAGCTGAAACGTTCTCTGTCAGCTATGCTTCCAGGTCAGCTATTCATAGAAACATAGAATGTGACGGCAGATAAGACCCATTCAACCCATCTAGTCTGCCCAATTTTCTAAATACTTTCATTAGTCCCTGGCCTTATCTTATAGTTAGGATAGCCTTATGCCTATACCATGCATGCTTAAACTCCTTCACTGTGTTAACCTCTACCAATTCAGCTGGAAGACTATTCCATGCAACCACTACCCTCTCAGTAAAGTAATACTTCCTGATATTATTTTTAAACCTTTGCACCTTTAATTTAAGACTATGTCCTCTTGTTGTAGTAGTCGTACGTCTTTTAAATATAGTCTCTTCCTTTACTGGGTTTATTCCGTTTATTCTGTCCTTAAATTTGAAATTCACTTTGAATTCACCTTGAATTCTCACTTTAGTAAATAACTCTGGCAGTGTTGAAAGACATGAAACATTCTGAAAAGTACATCCCGAAAAAAAAAAGTTATGTATAGCTATTAATCTCACATTGAGGTTTTCTGGAAATTGACTGTGAGCAGAAAGGTAAGGCTGGTGTGATAGCTCAGTGAGCTAATGCATCATCAAGCTTTGTGGGTTGCAGGTTCATATACCACCTGTGTTGGCCCAGCTGTTCATCCTTCCAAGGTAGATAAAACGAGTACCATTAAATTGGGTAATAGTAACATCCCAAGGGCTTACTTGGAAATCTGAGTAATCTGAATGTACCTTTCCTGGTTAAACACTTTGTTATTATATATATATATATACAAAATAGAGCACTTTTTGTTATCTAGTCTAATTTTCTTTTTTTTTTTAAATAGGATAGCCGATATAGAATCAATTTCAGTCAGAGTGTAAATACCTTAAGTTAGGTCCACATGACTATAAGGCTACAACTACCATTGTACCTATTTGTACAGAGTTTAGCTTTTGTTTTAAATGTACTTACATGCAAATCATACAATCTAGATAACATTTTAAGATAGTGAACATTATTGCTATAAAGTATTATACATATGGTAGCAAAATAAGGCTTTGCTGTAGAAAGCCCCAAGAGGGAGGATGATGATGCTAACACACTACATTAGTTAACAAATGCACCATGAAATAAGACACGTGGATGTTCAATAAATTAATCTGTTGAACAGACATAATTCTATCATATTGTTAAACACTGTGGTTTCAGTCCTATAAATAAGTATATTTGCCGTTTTTATTCCTTAAGCTATCAATGAGTCTGCTCCTCTGATGTTGAAGGGTTAGAAGTTTCATTGTAAAATACTTTTTAAGGAACACTCTAAACACCATAACCACTGTGGTAAGCATGCCATTGGGCCCTGCTATTGTAAATAGTCAAACCATTTTAGAACTGCTTCAGACAAAGAGCTTCCAACTCTCTGTTTGAGCTAAGCCCGGCAGTTCAATCAGCAGATGCTCTCAGCGAATGAGCTAGGCTTGTACCACAGTGCTTAGCTAAGGTTAGTTAACAGAAGCTCCTGGTTTGGAACTCTCATTCTAAGAAGGAAGTATTGAAGGCAGATTTGAAGTAAGAACTCTTTTTGACTACTTAAAATTGGGGTGAGGGACTGAGTGAAGCAGTGTGTTTTGTTCTTGGAGTGTTCCTTTAGGTGAAAGAGCACTCTGTGACAAGGTCAAATAGGTACAGAAATTTATGAACTTCAAAGGGACAGCTATCACTTTGAGACAATTGTTGAAATAGCTTTGAATGAAACAATTGTCTCAATCTGCAGGCTAAGAAAAGCAATTAATTTGTTCTTTCTTCACATTTACTTACTTCTTTGTTATACATTCCACACCCACTTCAGGGAGGACTCTGGTTTTACCAATCAGTGTCCTATCCCTAGGAATAGTGGGAAAGTGCATTTGGCATGCCTGACAGACTTACACATGTGCATTTGGAAGTTCTCTTCATCTTGCAACATCCTGACAGAGGGAGAAGAGGGGGAGTCTGATCAGTGTGATCATACTTAGCAGCCTCCGATGTTGGGTTTCTCTCTCCTGCTGCTGCAGAATTATGCCCTGTTTGTGTCATTAGTGGACTGGTCTTAAATTGAGAATAGTGGACAAGAGGGAGTGGGGAGGCTGAATAAACTCACCAAGCTAAAAAAGCCTCCACCAATGCAATCCGACAAAATGTATAAACATTTATTTTTATACATTCTAAAAAATTTTGCTTTATTTTGAATTGTATGGTTTAAAAAATAATTCTGGTCAGTGACCATAAAAACTACAGACTGGAATAAATGCATGACAGTCCCAGTACAATGCATACTAACTGGACAACAAAATAATATAACAGACATGATTTTTCAGGTATTGTCATAAATTTATCTAAATACATTCTTTTACAGTTATATATTCTTAACACAAATTGAAACATTACTATATCTTTAAACTAGCAACATGCTGTTATTTTCAAATGGCTTTCCATTTGTTTTAAATAGACATTGACGGTAGAGGAAGCCATTTATTATGTTTGCGGATGGCTTACAAAATTATACTCCTTGCGCTTTTGGGGTACTATTTGTTATTTTTGACACTTCAGAGCATGCCATTAATAATTTTCCACAGTTCAGTCTTTTGTATCTCATACTAAATAGCATTCCCCTTTGAACTAAAACTATTTAATTTGAATTGTTTAAAAACCTGTCCAATTTTGACCTATCTTGTTTATTCATTTTTATAGTTTATATTAGCCAAGAATTCAGTGCATGGTATATTTTATTAATTTAAGATCGTCACCAAGAGATTTAGCAATAAAGGCAATCTCTGCCATCTTTTGCAAACAGATTAAGTTCCTCGGTAACACTATACATCATCTGAATTACAATTTAATGAAAAATACAATTTGAATTATAAGAGGCCTTGATGCAGAATCTGGTTAAAAGATAAATGCTCCATCTTAGATTGAATAAATACATGCCCATCTTTATTGCAGATAAAAATACCTATTTGATATGCAGAGGAAACACTTTAATATGATTTTATGTTAATTTCATGGCTCTATCAAAAAAGTATTTTAAAATACAATTTCATAAAATTCAAGGTTTTCATTGTAAGTGCTAGCAGACCTTTTCAAAATCCTTTACATAATCTTTCTTCGTAGGACTTGCTTGTGGCCCATTCATTAACCTGTAGAATTCTCAATGTATTCATTAATTCTCAAATGTGAAATCAATAGTGGGCATTATACATAGGTTAAAATGAAGAGGCTGCTATGCAAATCATTGTGGTGCACATATTCAAACTCAAGACACAATTCCTTAATAATTCAGAGCGTATTCAACTTATTCCAAGAATACATTTTACATCAAACACATCCGACTATTTCAGCTAAGGAAATGAGCAATTTGGTGAATAGCTTTATTAAAAATAATATACTTTTGAAAGCATGAAGTTAAAACCCATGGTGAAATATAGTATAGTGATCATTATAAGCCTTCTTTTGTCCCATGGTTCTCCTGGGCATCAGTCAGACTTAGCTCAGTGAAGAAAGCTTCCTGTTCTGACTGAGCTGTAGTGTTTAGTGGAGAAGGGAAGTGGACCCAGGTAAGCAGTCAAATCATTCTAAAATGATTTGATACCGTACAATGGTAGTGGGGGGGGGAGGGGGGGGAGGGGATGCCAAGTTGCTATATTTTATGGTGCTTAGAGTATTCCTTTAAAAAAAGCTACTGTTGTTTACAAAAAACCTAGAGTATAATGCACACACTAAAAAGGGGGAATACTTCCCACATGGTGCTCCCGAAAGGGAGGGCCACTCCATGAAGACATAAAATGGAAGAAAATAAATATCCAGGCACACCTGAGGTTTCTTCTAAAAGGCAGTCTTTTTTTTTTAAACAAGGAAGTGGAGACAACGTTTTAGCTCCTTTCTGAGCCTTTATCAAGACTTGATAAAGGCTCATAAAGGAGCTTAAACGTTGTCTCCATTTCCTTGTTTCAAATTAAGACTGCCTTTTTAGCAGAAACCTCGGGTGTGTCTGGATATTTATTTTCTTCCTTTTAAAAAAAACTACTGACTTTACGGTAGACACAGTGGATATGTTCTTCTGCTTTAACAACATACATTCTAATAAAATGTGTTAGTCACTCACAATAGTCTTGTTCCAATGCCAGAGGTCTATATTACATAGGAAAGGTACTGATACTCTAGTAAATAATTAATTGTGGACCTTTGACTGGAACATGCTGTTAGTGATGCCTATACCTGAAAATGGGTATCCATTAAATCTACCATTTTACCCAATTTGGAATTCTGTTCATATTCTTTTATTTAAGTTTTAACAATTTTAAATAATACATAATATAATAAATTAATTAAGGGTAAATTAAACAGGAGAAATTGAAAGGGTAAAAAGGTATAACTGAAAGGAAATAATATAAATATAAATTGTACACAATTATGACCAAAAACATTTTCAAGTAGTTGTAATAGTAAGTGACCAAAAAAAAAGAAAGATTTATAAGATAATAACCTTTATGTAAATTTACAAAATAGAGTGGAAGAGTTTATATCTAATGTTAATAATTTTCTAGTATGTCTTTTTTATTTCTTGTGTCCAGGGTTCCCATGTATGGCCTAGTTGAGCATATATGGGAGAAATTTGTCTTAGAGATAACTCGGAATTTTTGTTGTCTAATATTATAGCTAGACTTTCTTTTACAGGTGGAATTTTATCTGTATTCCAATATTTGGGCAATCTAGATGGTGCAGTTATCAAAATGCACATGATAACAATTATTTCATACTTGCTAAGACCTTTTGGATTAAACATTAGTGTTCTATAGCAGGGATAGGCAACCTTCAACATTCCAGATGTTGTGGACTACATTCCCCATAATGTTCTTACACCTGTAATGCTGACAAAGTACCATGGGAGGTGTAGTCCAAAACATCTGGCGTTCCGAAGGTTGCCTATGCCTGTTCTATGGGAATCCCACCAGACTACAAACAAAGCAAAAAACCCTCTAAACCAAAAGCAGTAATGAATGTATGGTGCTAGAGCTTAAACTAAAACTGGCTAATTAGGTAGATGATATGAGAAGTGTGATATTCACCACTTGATCGATTTTTTTTTTGCATAACAAGAATTATAGTTTTTTATTAAAGAATTCCACAAAGGTCATGCAACTGAAATTGGGATGAACTCACTCTCAAATATTGTTTTTTACGTGTTAGCTTACTGCTTTGTTGAACATCATGATAGGTTCCATGGTGGTTTTATAACTTTCAGGACTTCGTCACATAATTACTCTTCATAAATAACTCCCACTGTTCCTTCTGTTGGAGTACATACAATGCAAAATATTATATATATGTGGGTTTCGGGTGGATGGATAGATGGATTAACAGACAGACAGAACTTTTTTTTTTTATAAGTTCCACGCAAATTTTTTAACAAACTTGTCCCTTGTGTGACCTACAAACATTGTAAATTCAGTGGATACAATGAGCATCAAAAATGTATAACCCACATTTTGTAAATTAAAGGATAACTTAATTAACATCACCTAGAGCCTGCTTGTCTGAGAATTAATGTTGCAGAAGATATAGCTTTAATAATGTATTATATTTTATATGCAGAAAATAAAAGCAATGATAAATGTACAGTGAAGAATGAAAATGGCTACGATTTCTATGAAACATATAATTTGTCATTTCCTCACAAACTTAGTGGGAAATAAGAGACGCAAGAAGAAAAAACATACACAGTCAGTTTTTGGTACTCAAACGATTTTGCTGTAAAAAAATGAAATAATAATGAGTATTTAGATTTTTATTGTTATACTATACTGATTATGTTATAAATAATATTATCACCACTGTAGTGACAGTATTATATATATTTTCAATATTGAACAATTGGTGGATGACATACACAAGTAAATTCGAGTAGAAAAAGTTTTATTGCAGAAACAAGAGCTCTGTTCAAACAAGTTTACGGTTTAAGGGAGTTGCAAATGTTAAGCAATATCAAAGGATTGACTGGTCCTGGTTTCTGTACTTTGCCACTGTGTCACAGTATTCATTCTCTTCTATCTTCACCTGTGACATTATTGGATACAGACCCACTGCCGCTGCTATCTGTTACAAGTGCAACTTTTGATCTCTATCCTTTTTTTTTTTTAAGACAAAAAATCTAAATGTAGTGTTCGAGGCTTGTACTTTTAATAGCGATGTTTAAAGTGGCACTGTCAACATCTGGGGATTTTGCAAAGACGCCTGACGGTGACATTGTCTCTGGTGGTTTGGTCGCGGGGGGTAGGGAGAAAGGGAAGGGAAAGGTGTGATTTGCTTACCTGAACATGTCGGGTTTGACACTATAGAACTGCCCAGTGTCTAAGAAAGTCAGGCATAGAAAATATATAGAGAGGAAGTGATCCTTACTTTTCTCTGTTTATCTCGGGTTTCGAATTTCAGGGATAATGAAACACAGTCAAAATGAGTATTTTATATAGACTCTATCTTTATAACGTACTAACTTTCCGGGTGGGTGGAAGGAGTGATAGTGCTTGATTAACATGTACTAAAAATGTAATGGTTTGTTTGTCTGTTATCTGTATCATTTGTCAGTGTATATTGACCATTTGCAGTGTATTTGACCATTCAAAGCTTTGGGAAGGCCCATACATGTCACATCTCAGGAGTTGTATGTTATGTACACACATGCAAATAACATACCAAATCTTTTCAGCCTGGGGGAGAATTAGCAAGGGACCAATCCCACGAAATTTGAGGTCCTGCATGTAGGGTTTATAATTAATACACATTTATATTTCGGTGATTCCCACATGCTCAGCTATCTTTTGTTTGTACATCAAGTGACCAATAATGATAATTCAAAAAAAGAAAGATGTAACAACCTAAATTTCATGAATTCCTATACCCTGTTTTAGGTCACACAAATATCTGCCACAGTATGATGAAATGAAATATATATCATGTACTGCACTTGTTCTGCTTAGTACAGATTTTCACTGATTGGAAATTGACAGCTACATAACAAACTCTAGTCCAAAATTATGCAAATTGGAGCCAAATTCTCTAACTCAGGTCTCTCCATGGACACATTTATGTTGAGTTAATGGTATCTGGCATGTGAGATAGACAACAGGCTTTGAGCAGTAGAAGCAGTTGGGTAGTGTTTGTAGAAGAGGCTACAAAATAATAATTTAGCATTTTATTGGTTTACAGCATAACGCCACAAGCATCAATGAGTTTTTTTTTTGTCTTCTGTCTTGGACTGTAACCTCAAATAACCATATTATTCACTGACTGGTCACACATTACCACTCAACAGTTCTTTTCTTTAACTTTAGATAACAATTGTCTCAATTTAATGTTTTTTGGTGGTAACTATTAAAATAATTTAAGATTTGTAAGAACATTTTTATATTTTGAAATTCGAATATATTGATATATTTTGTTATATACGGTATATTTTTGATATTTTAATATTTAAAAAAAATTATAATTTCAGTTTCTCCAAAAATATGAAATAATTTAAAGAGCTTATTCAAAAATATTAAATCAAGGTCAATGTTTGGCGATCTGGATATTTCACCATTTGTGTTTTAATACATCTGAACTAGATAATGCTATGCTATTATCTTGCTTTTACCTGTTAATAAGTGATTATTACATTTCTCAATTTGCCTCCCTAATTAGCCGAATAGTGTTCTTCTAAACCTTAGAACACTTGGGAGTTCACTGTTTGCTCAATGCTGCCAGCAGTCTTGAACACTGTGCCGATTTTCAAGTTAGGAATTGGTTACACATTACTTGATAAATAACCACTGAATTATCCTAGGTTTTGCCCAATATGTTTTTTCACTAACCATTGTTAGAAAAAAATGTTGATGTATACCTTTCTTAGTGGCTGCAGTTATTTCAAGCTCTATATGCTCCTGACATCATGGAACGTTTCTCACTACAGTCTGAATATCCATGCCAGATCGTTCTCTTAAATGCTTGCATTACAGTAGTTCTTGACTATTACAGGATACAAGAAAACTGAAGATCTACACAAGTTAGAATGGGTCTGTCACGCAAAGTGCAGATATACCATGTTTTGTTCTGCTTTGAGTATTTTAACCACATTATTTTCAGGCTCTGATATGCCCACATGTGACCTTTCCAATAAATCAGCTTGTGACAGTTTTGAATTGAACTGGTAGGATACTCATGTTACTAGAACAGAAATCAGCCCACCCCAATATCACTCTGTCCTCATTGACCTTCACTTACAACACATCCAAAAGCATCCTCATGCGGGTGTCTTGGAGGCTGTGCGGCTGCCCATAAGACTAAAATCAACATTTGCAATATCACTAAAAATGAGAAGGTCCTGTTTTGTGCATAACAGTTCTGAGTGAAATGTAACAAACTTGAGTGACCAGCCTAGTGACCTCATCTATAATTCGGTATTTTTAGCTAGCTGTCTGTCTGTCATTATTTCAATGTGTATTTAACACGTTTCCTTTCCTCTGTTAGGCAAATAATGACCTTTCTAAAATGTGGGTACAAGATGGCAATTATGAAGGAAACTGGACTAAAGCAGAGATTTATATAGGAAAACGAAGAAACTTTCAAATAATTTTTGAAGGAATTCGTACAAGAGATTTTGGAGGAGGGGCGGCAATTGATGATATTGAATTTCTAAACTGTTCAACGCGTGAGTAACATTATATTAAATCATACTTTCATATCTTCCAATTAAACTATTTAGATGAAATAATTATACAGTCGCTGGCACTAAAAAGACATATGAAAATAAAATAAATCCCATGTTATCTAAAAGTAATTTTTAAACAGATTTCAAGAAATGGTATTAAATAAGCCTTATTAAAATAAAACTTCAATGGCTGACTACAGCAGTGAAACATTTAAATTGCTCTGTGAGATCTGATAACAGAATGCAGGGAAAATTAACTAATTTATGGCTTTATCACCAATCACATCAAAGGTATCTTTTTGCTCCTCTGTAGCTCTACAAACAGGGTTATTCACTTAAGTCTGAATGGACCCTTACTGAATGGGGCAAAACTATAAAGCTGCATATGGGGTCATTCGAACTGCAAAATCACAAAGTCCAGACATTGTTCACTCAATTCAAAAGTCTAGATTTTACAATTCCGGCCTAGAACAGGTCTAAATGTGGTCCGGACTTCAGTTTGGCCGAATGCTACCGAATGGTTGAAATCTGCCGAAATGCTTAAAATGTATGCCTAAATACTTTAAAGTCGGGCCTGAATTTAAAAACAAACAAAAAAAAACCCCCACATCTTTGTGCCCTCTTACAGCTCTACCAGGAAACGCTAATTCGCGCAAATACTTTCTGCTAGATGCATTTGGTTCTGTATTTTATTAATATCTGTGCATTGTGAATCTTCCAAATCGATTTGGATTGCAAGATCACTAAATTTAATCCTGAATGCATCCAGGCAGTTTCTGCAGATTCACTCAGGCCGACCGAATTCCATCTGAATTAGATCATTTTATGTTGTACAGAAACGCAACATGAACTAACTTAACTCATGCAAACCAGTAGACGAATATGCATTCCCACTGAAAAAAGTAGTATTCATAATATATGCCAGAGAAAATAACTTTATAATTATTATGCTTCAAAACTATATCATGCCTGGATGTGTAATACGATTTGTTACAACTAAGCAAATCTGAAGTCAATGAAGTATTAAAGCGAAATAAGAAAAATATATATCTTTCCAATTGTAGAGGACATTTAAACTCTATCAGTTTCCTGAGATCTGTTCAGTAACTTGTTGAGTTGTGCTGAGATGAGAACTGTAGGAGAAATGGGAGCAGTTTCCAATTCACCAACATTCTCAAGTCACCATAACTCACTTTCTAAATAACCAACTTCTGATGAAACATAACAGTTGTTGAATAATCATTTAATAACTGAAGAAACATTGTACTGCCATTGAATACTTATTGAAACACATTATTTATATTATACCTGATGCCAGCAAAAAGCTATTTAAAAAAAAAAAAAAGTATTGCGTATAATAGAAGTGAATCTTTTGCTAAGACCCCTTTAAAAAAAAAAAAATTATGTATGCATTTATTTGAAAAGCATACGGTTCTAAGAAACTCAAGTTTGGTTAGCTTTAGAGGGAAGGGAACATTTGTTGCCAGAATTTGGATAATTTCTAGACTCAAATCATAATATGTATCTTTTTTAGATCTGTGAAAAAATCTAAATCCAAAATACATAAAGAATTGGCATAGTTTAAAAGTAAAAACTCTTCTCCCAAACCCTAAATATAAATATTTTGCTTTTGCGCTGCCAAAATATATAGGCTTTACACATAAATGTATATTCCTATGTTTTAAAAGAAACTATAATAACATACTTTTTTTATACTCCAGCTCTCCAGATATTTTGTAACAATTCTTTGATAATTTTCTCTAACATACAGAGAATAAAGAGCATTGGAGAGTATCTCGTCATCTTGCCTCTATGTCTTTTAAAGGAGAAGGCAAACATTGTTTTTGTGGGTACAGTGGAACTCTTCCCTCTGGCATACACATGTGGATGCTATTTAATATTAGTATAATAATGCAACTGGGTCAACTAACTCTCAAAAGCAAAAAGTGGTAGAGGTCCTTTCTACAGATTATCCAGTTTATACTAGCTATAGGGTGTCGGAAGGTTGTGTAACTGTATGTGATGCCAAAGTTAAGCTCAGTTGTACAAGGGTTGCCATTTTTTGAAGGTAGGGTATGGAAGAATTGCCAAATACAAAACACTTGGAATTCCTGACATCAATGAAAAAATATTATTTTCTATGAGAACTGAGCAGTCTGGGTGCAATTAAAATCTTAACTATCTTGTAGAGACTTTGTTTGCCTTAGAGAATTCCTTTCTACAAACTTTTTGATAGTGTATAATGCTCATCCTTTTCGCATAAAAGCCTTACACTTGCGTAGTTCCTGAATACCATTCAACATCATCTGTATAAATTGACTATGAGGAGCAAATAATAATAATATAAAAAAAACAGGATGCAGTACCATCCTGTACCTTTCAGCTTTTACTCAACATAATTAATACTGGAAGTAATGAAAGTAGCTGGGAATGTAGGAGGCCATATTTATCCCCAACAGGGGCCAAATCATATTCCTTTGAATACAATTTAATGGTGAATTGGAGTTTGGGCTACTTGGTTTGCATGTTCACTATTTGAAGTAATACATTGTATTACATCATCTTCCTGAAGTTGCTTCTACATGTTTTGGGATTACAAAGTGCAAAAGTTCAAAGAGAACTAGTTAAGACAATTCCACACTGCTGGTAGGGCTTATCAGCCATATATTATGGGTAAAATATGTATAAACATTTTTCTACAACTGTCTCAGTATCACTCAAGCTCACTCAACAGGATACTAGAATACACAAATGCATATTTACTTCTGTGTTTCTTTCCAATAAATTGACAAGTAAAATGACTTGAGGCAATGGGGATATTTTTTCTAATAATTGGATACAGCCTTTTTTTTTTAATACAATAACTGTTTTGTTATTATATACTTATTGTATTATACTATATACAATATTTTTTTTTGCTATTCCATTTAACCTGAATAAAAACTGAATACAATATATCTACTGGAATAAATAACTTTGTCTTAATATTCAGACTTATCCTTATCTTTCTATGTGCTTGACTAAAAGAAAAAAGTGCCAGTATTAGATTATTTAAAAAAAAAAAAAAAGCAAAACAGAAGATCCCTTCTATAATGTGCATATTGTTTTTTATTCTAACAATATAAGCTGACATTTATATTAAGCATTCTGTACACTGTAAATGTTTTTGCTCTTGCACTAATGTGATTTCAAAATACCAGGATCAGATGTCTGAGTGTTTTTCAATTCAGTTGCTGTCACGTCAGTTGATAGTGTTCAGTGCGACTACCTGACAGCGGACAAGAAGTACAGAATGCAAAAATTTCCAAAACTGATCAATATGTCCAAACGGCAACATTTATATTCTTGTCTGTCGTAAACATTAGACTCACACCCATCATCTGGTACCTGCTTCAATCCATCATATTCATTTGGGCTTGTTTTCACATGTTGACCTTGTCTTGACAAGACATCAGCATCTCTCCGAGCCAAACAGGACAGTACTTCAGACTAAAATCTATGTGCTTTACAAATAGCTTTTAAAGACGCAGCTAAAAACGAATGCACAGTGACATATATAGGTTCTCATGCTGACATGAAAGTAAAGACTAAAAGAAATCTATCCAGGAAAAATGAGAAACTGCATTTAAACATTGAGAATTGTTTAGTAAAATAGTTTTCTTTTTGAAGTAACTCTATATAGGATATTACATTTACCAGTGTGAGATACAAATGTTTTCTCTCTTGTCCAACGAAGATCCTTTGTCAGTGACCCTAATTCCCTAAGGCAGTTCTATACAATAATACCACCATTAAGCACACATGTTGTGATCCAGATCGTAACCAGAATCTCACAAGCGTGCATGTGAATATCATTACTGTCACGTGCAATTTATGAGAAGTTTTTATATGTAATAAAACCATAAAGTAAATCCACAGCGTAACAATGCACAGTGGCACATAACACATGTGTGCCATTTATATCATAATGTCACAACATCGAAACTATGCTTGATGTAATTAGTTTAGCTAATTATGCTGAGTAATCAATATAATACTTCAGTAGATCACTACGGAAAGGTTGAGGGGAAAAAAAGACTCGGCTAGACAATAATGGGACTGTGAAAATTATGTCTGGGCTGAATTTTTGTTCCATTATCACCTTGGTATCGTCTTCAGAAGAATTAATATGTTGCTAAATAATTCAACAATAAGTCAACCATTGTTATATCAGCAATCTCTTAGTTATGGGTCTTCCTATCTCCATTTAAGCTCAAGATGAGCAGACTTATTAAGTAAAACATGTTTTGTAATGTAATTTAATATTCTTTATGTCAACATATTACCAAGTTTAAACCAAAGAAAAAAGTAACCTGCGCTCTTTCCACATCCCTATGTATTTTTAAACAAATGGAGGTTTTTAGTTACCTCCAATGGCCATGAGAGGATATGCCCAGCTGCCACGTCAAGGCAGACCTCTTAGGTGAGTCCTAACTCTAACCATTCGCCTTGCTTCCTTGAGCTTCTGGCAAATATATCTCTAATGAGACAGAAAGGGGTATTTTGTTATATTTTTTTATATAGATTATATATTTTTTATATACAAATACAAAGAAACAAGTCCTGCGCTCAAACTCCCATTACTCCTAGGTTACAATGCTGCTGCCCATTCCATGTGTTCCCTATTAAGGGTTAATAAGCATGTAGGGATGTATATAAAAAATACCCCTTTCTGTCTCATTAGAGATATATTTGCCAGAAGCTCAAGGAAGCAAGGCGAATGGTTGGAGTTAGGACTCACCTAAGAGGTCTGCCTTGACGTGGCAGGTGGGCATACCCTCTCATGGCCATTGGGGGTAACTAAAACCTCCATTTGTTTAAAAATATATAGGGATGTGGAAAGAGTGCAGGTAACTTTTTTCTTTGGTTTTTACTATATGTATTTTGGCTGATGTGTACTATGGTCGTTGCTGCCGCCCAGGAGTAATGGGAGTTTGAGCGCAAGACTTGTTTCTTTGTATTTATATTACCAAGTTTAACTAGAACGTTAACGTGTGAAGAGAGAGAAAGACAAAAACATTTTATTTGATTTGCTTGCTTTGTAGGACCTGAGGCCCCAAAATGTGTTAATTCGGAAGGAGAGCAAGCACCTGTCTTTCAAGTCTGTGCTTTAATTTGCAATAGCTAACGTTTGAAGAAAAAAATTAAACAACAAAATAGAATACTTAAGTAGATTTGTTCTCTAGCCATATTCCAGACATTTTGTAAACAACCTCCTTTAGGGTGCAGTGAAGATAATGATGTCTAGTCCTTCTACAATCTATTAACTAGTACCCACTTATTCTAAGGAAGCTAAAATATGCAGATCCATACTCTGCAGATATTCTCTTTTAACATATTCTGTAATGAGGTAGTTCCACAAATTTTTACCTTGTTTTCTTGAATCAGATTGACCAATGACTATTTCCCGATGCTCGTTAAATCTTAAGAAATGAATAAGAACAAGAGTAATAGTAATTAATTCTCTGGGGGCACTGATCTAATAAAACAGAAAGAGAAACACAGAGCAAAAACCAGCCATTAGGAACCATCTGACAAAAAGAGCTCCAGAAAGCAATGAGAGAAGAGAGCAGAAAAAAAGATAACAATTTATCAGCGTGAAGAATGGCAAATAAAAGAAACTCAGAGTTTGAATTATCCAGTGCCTGGGTTCATTTTCTATATCCAGAATAACAACAAAGAAACTGAATAACATTCTATAGGTGAAAACCAAAAATAAAATACACACAGAGAATCTGCAATCAAACATGTCTCTCCTAAAGTAGTTTCTTCAAAAGAATTGGAATGTTAATGAAGTCAAACCTTGGGAAAAGTCCATCTTGTGCAGAGAAACTTCCAATAAATCGTGTTTTCATAATTCTCCTGTAGTCTACAGGCAATTCAGAAGAGGACATTTCGCAAAACATGTGGGAGTGAACATATGCTTTGAAATGTAACAATGAATATTCTATAATGCTTTTATTTTAGTAGAACAGAGAAAAGAAATGTAATTGGGAGGATGTGCGTGGGGCCCAATACCTGCAACATTTGTTCTGAGGTATGTGCTGAATTAACCAAGTCAGGGCATGAGTAAAAAGATTCAATGACTTCTGGCCATAAATTCTATGTAGCTGTTTATTCCTATCATCCTATCTGAAGGGCTTAAGGTGACGATAGTCAATAGTGTATAACTCTTCCATATTGTCAATACTTTAACATTGATAGTTTGCTCAATGCTGAGGGTAAGAGGGTAAGAGGGTATTTGTCTTGCCCTTGGTTTGGGGATAAACGTATGCAAACACATATGTTTAAGTAGCAGCCTAGCTTAATGTATAGAAATCTGCTCACTTCATTCAGGAGGGTGAAGGCTACACTCCTGTGGAATAATATTGACACTTCAGACTTCCCTCTCAATTCTTTTAACAGTAGAATTGTAGGTATGCGTGAATGGAGAAGGAAGGTGCCCCTCTTTCTTTAAAATTTACCTCCTGAACAAAGTAATTAAAAGGACTCCAAATTTCTAAAGTACTTTAACTTCCTGAAAATAACACTTTTATAAAGGGCCTTATTATACCTGCTGCCAGCAGACAACCGATCCTGTTACCTGGTTGTTTATCTCGGTGGAGTTAAAGTTAAGAGCCAGCAATTGCTCAGAGCACCGACCTTGCAAAGACTTCTCATTGAGCTGCATTGGGAAGTCTGTGATTGGACAGCCACAGAACATCTGGGTGGAGTTTGAATGGGAGGGCTTGCAAAGGCTGCAGACAAGAGATCTGCAGCTTTTGCAAGCTGTTTTTAGCTATATCCCCAATTAAAAATATGCATATGTAAATTTTGTCATTGGGAGTATGTCTAATAAACAGTGTTTGGGTGGGGGGTCCCCTTAATATCTTATCTGCACAAAATTCTATCAGAGCTCTAATTTGTTCTCTAAAAGGTGTTAATTGGGTACGTGGGACATTTTGATGAAGGGAGTTGACTGGTAGAGGAAGTAGTAAAGGAAAATAGATACAAAAAATTGTTACAAAGAGAGGAAATAAAGACATTTGAGGTTGGATTAGGTGTATTTAAACTTCCAGTGATGGAAAGGGGCTGGTGTGTCCTAGTATTGTGATCGGTGACCAAGTCGCCAATGTAATACATTTGATTTAGGATAAGAGAATGTAATGCATTCTTGGTGGATTTGCAACAATTTCTAGTGACAAAATCCTAATTTTAGAATTAAGTTCATATTCAAGTTTAAAGGGACACTATAGGTTCCAAAACAACTTTAGCTTAATAAAGTAGTTTTGGTGTATAGATCATGCCCCTGCAGTGTCACTGCTCAATCACTTTGTTTATGCTGCCCTAGGCAAACTTCCCTGTATGTTACTTACTCACTTCCTGTAGAAAGAGATCTAATTTGTAAACTACCTTTATTGCACAATCTGTTTTTCATCTACACCATCCTATCTTCTGCATTGTTAACAGCCTTCTAGAGCTTGCATGAGTGTGTGTATGTGATTAAAGTTCAATTTAAGAGCAGAAGATGAAAAGTTATAAAGCAAGTTAACATCTGATTGAAAAAAAACAGCCAGGGGAGGTGTATCTAGGGCTGCATAAACAGAAACAAACATAATTCAACTAAGGTGGCAGAGAATTTAGCAGTGAGACTGCAGGGGCATGATCTACACACTCAATCTGCTTCATTAAGCTAAAGTTGTTTTGATGGCTATAGTGTCCCTTTAAGAGTATTTAATCCAAGAGTCCCCAATATTCTTGTAATGCTCATACCTCTGCTTCTGGACATGTAGGAACAAAGATAGTCAATATATGATGTTACCTCCATCAATATACTGTAGATCAGAAGTAACACAGGAAAATGAATTCTATAAAAAGAACAACGTGCAGAGCTATGGATTCTATGATTCAATTTTATGTAGAGTTGACAGTTACCACAAAGGTAACTGAATGTACCATGTGTGGCATTATAATCACATCTATTTTGTTTGATTATACATGAAATCTTGTTAATGCATTTCCAATCATAGGTTCTGACTTTCTGACTTTTTTTTATTATCATAAACATTGTATGCTGTAAAATGATGAGTGTTCTTTATAAATGATTATCAACCTGTCAGAATGATAATGAGACAAATCATACAATATAATTGCCACTATTCTATATTATAGCATTTTTCATGCAAAATAATGCTAAATGTATATTTATCTAACGGTAATGCGATGTAATGGCGTTTTCAAAGCTGATAGCACTTCTCACATTAATTGATACTTTCAGCATGTATCTGAATACAAACAATATACATACATAAGGTGGAACTTCTTAAGTAGGAGTTCAGTGTAAATCTGTAATAGTATATAAATGCAAAACAATTGTGAAATATTGTTGAAACAATTTAAATATAATATATGAACATTAGGAGTATCACTCACAAGTCAAGAGCCATTGATCACATATGACACAAATGGTAAGTGCCTGTGGACACTTTTAGGATGTCCAATTCCTTTTTTCTGGTTCTCTTTTCTGGAGCTCTCCCTGCTTGGCCGTCAAGATGGTCAGTATTTCACAATATGCCAGATCCCAGAAGTGCATACACAGGATACCAGAGGTATATTCCAAAAAGGTGCTTTATTCATAAAGTTATAAAAATAAAGAAATAAAACTTTAAAAACAATTATAGATATCAGGTATAATATCCTGTGGTTGGCTAAGTAGTCCAGTAAGTCCTTTATCTCTAAATTCCTATTAATGGTCCATCGTTGGTCTAACAATGTAAACTTTAGCTTAAACTAGATTTGTTTTGAGGGTTGTGCCAGTTTTGTTTCTTGGAAACAAACTATCTCATTTTAGAGATTTTACATAGTTAGTTACATAGTTACATAGGCTGAAACGAGACATGCGTCCATCAAGTTCAGCCTTTCTCACATCTGTTTTTTGCTGTTGATCCAAAAGAAGGCTAAAAAAACCCCACAAAAAACAGCTTGAAGCACTTCCAATTTTGCAACAAACTAGGAAAAAAATTCCTTCTTGACCCCAGAATGGCAGTCAGAATTATCCTTGGATCAAGAAGCCTTTACCCTACAGTTGAAAAATTGTATAGTTGAATATTATGTTTTTGCAAGTATGCATCTAGTTGCTGTTTAAACATCTGTACAGATTCTGATAATACTACTTCTTAAGGCAGAGAATCCACATCTTTATTGTTCTTACGGTAAAAAAAAAAAAACCTTTCCTTTGCCTTAGACTAAATCTTCTTTCTTTCTGTCTAAACACAGGATCTCGTGTCCTATGAAAAAGCATTTTATATAGAAGTGGTGCACAATGCTTGAAAGGTTACTTTTCATAAATAAAAAAAGAAAATAATATGTATGTGATGAAAAGCAGCAGTCTTGTTTCAGATGAAGATTACAAATATAGTGCAAGTGATAAATGGTTCTCCCAGTATGAAACTAAATGAAAAGAAGGGGCAACATCATTTACTCTACTCATACAACGCTGAAGAAATGCATCTGATCCCAGAGTTAAAACCCCTTAAGGACACAACTTCTGGAATAAAAAGGAATCATGATGGAACATTTCCATCGAGTGTCCTTAAGGGGTTAACAATTTGCTGGTGCTGTGTGATGACCATTCTTCTGCATACACAGATACCTACATATAGACCTACATAGATAATATCATACAACAGCAGCTGTGGAATTGGAAATAAATAATCAAATAGATAAAAAGGAATAATTATTATAACTTATCTCAAATCAGTTTCTCTTGGGACAGCTACTCCAAGGCTTGAATGTAGCATGCAGTAAAGTTTCTTGCTATGGATTTTCTGTATCTGTTGGGAGCACAGAAAGAGTATATTATTAATACACTTTATAGTTCAGATGTTACATCTAAATCATGAATCATTCCAAGTGGATGTACACTCATTTTTTCACATAATAAATTAAGTGCCTTTCCTTTTTTGCTTCCTTTCTGGGTTAATCCCCTTTCAGTTCTTGTCCTTTGCCATTTGCTTGTAATAATAATAATAATAATAATAATAATATAATATAGTGCAATAATAATTATATTATTTTGTGCTTAGGCTTGTTTTTAAGAACTGGACAGCCAATTTAGTCCTAGTTAAAACTTTTTTCAATAATATATATATATATATATATATATATACAGTCAGGTCCATAAATATTGGGACATCGACACAATTCTAATCTTTTTGGCTCTATACACCAACACAATGGGTTTGAAATGAAACAAACCAGATGTGTTTTAACTGCAGACTTTCAGCTTTAATTTGAGGGTATTTACATCCAAATCGGGTGAATGGTGTAGGAATTACAACAGTTTGTATATGTGCCTCCAACTTTTCAAGGGACCAAAAGTAATGGGACAATTGGCTGCTCAGCTGTTCCATGGCCAGGTGTGTGTTATTCCCTCATTATCCCATTTACAAGGAGCAGATAAAAGGTCCAGAGTTCATTTAAAGTGTGCTATTTGCATTTGGAATCTGTTGCTGTCAACTCTCAATATGAGATCCAGAGAGCTGTCACTATCAGTGAAGCAAGCCATCATTAGGCTGAAAAAACAAAACAAACTCATCAGAGAGATAGCAAAAACATTAGGTGTGGCCAAATCAACTGTTTGGAACATCCTTAAATAGAAAGAACACACGGGTGTGCTCAGCAACACCAAAAAGACCTGGAAGACCACAGAAAACAACTGTGGTGGATGAACAAAGAATTCTTTCCCTGGTGAAGGAAACACCCTTCACAATAGTTGGCCAGATCAAGAACACCCTCCAGGAGGTAGATGTATGTGTGTCAAAGTCAACAATCAAGAGAAGACTTCACCAGAGTGAATACAGAGGGTTCACCACAAGATGTAAACCATTGGTGAGCCTCAAAAACAGGAAGGCCAGATTAAAGTTTGCCAAAAAACATCTAAAAAAGCCTTCACAGTTCTGGAACAACATCCTATGGACAGATGAGACCAAGATCAACTTGTACCAGAGTGATGGGAAGAGAAGAGTATGGAGAAGGAAAGGAACTGCTCATGATCCAAAGCAAGCCACCTCATCAGTGAAGCATGGTGGTGGTGGTGTCATGGCGTGGGCATGTATGGCTCCAAATGGAACTAGTTCTCTTGTAATTATTGATGATGTGACTGTTGACAAAAGCAGCAGGATGAATTCTGAAGTGTTTCGGGAAATATTATCTGCTCATATTCAGCCAAATGCTTCAGAACTCATTGGACGGCGCTTCACAGTGAGAATGGACAATGACCCGAAACATACTGCAAAAGCAACCAAAGAGTTTTTTAAGGGAAAGACGTGGAATGTTATGCAATGGCCAAGTCAATCACCTGACCTGAATCCGATTGAGCATGCATTTCACTTGATGAAGACAAAATTGAAAGGAAAATGCCCCAAGAACAAGCAGGAGCTAAAGACAGTTGCAGTAGAGGCCTGGCAGAGCATCACCAGGGATGAAACCCAGCATCTGATGATGTCTATGCGTTCCAGACTTCAGGCTGTAATTGACTGCAAAGGATTTGCAACCATGTATTAAAACGTGAAAGTTTGATTTATGACTGTTAATCTGTCCCATTACTTTTGGTCCCTTAAAAAATGGGAGGGACATATACAAACTGTTGTAATTTCTACATCGTTCACCTGATTTGGATGTAAATACCCTCAAATTAAAGCTGAAAGTCTGCAGTTAAAGCACATCTTGTTTGTTTCATTTCAAACCCATTGTGTTGGTGTATAGAGCCAAAAAGATTAGAATTGTGTCGATATCCCAATATTTATGGACCTGACTGTATATGAGATTTATATTGAGTTACTTTTAAACTATATATGTTAATTTTAAATTTCCTGACAGTCCTAGGGTACATAAAGCTGTGCCCTTTATACATGATATAGCCTTGTAGCGGACGTGCTGGGCGCTAAAACAGTTAAGGGGAGTTTAAGTATGCGTGGGATAGGCATAAGGTGACCTAGCTATAAGATAAAGGTGACATGTAGTAAGGATATCACTTCCTGTTTGTAGTTTCTTAGTGCTGTTGGGGCTGAGACTGTGTGAATATGTTTGATAAGGAAGTCTTTCTGGGATGAAAAATGTGGCTAAGGCTTATGGAACAGAGTTCTGAAAAATATATTTTTTTTGTGCAAAAACTATAATGATTTGATCATGTAAAAAATATAGCATATTAATGAGGCCAAAATCTATCAAATGCAGTAAAATTGTTTTGGTACACGGAATGCCCCTTTAAATATATATGTGTGTGTGTGTGTGTGGCTGTGATTGTGTGTGTTTAATAAGTTCATAAAATGTTTTAGGAAGGACTGGATATGTTAATTATGAGATCTCTTTGAGATGTTAACTCACAATTACAAGAATATAGATTAGAAGTTAAAGTCTACCATAGATAACATTAAAAAGTTAATTAATTAAATGCATCATTAAACTTCAACTTAAGAAATACATTTGGACATACATTAATTTAATTCAAGTATTGATTGTCTTTTTTTTTTGTTCCAGTTGGAGAGAAGCCTGGTAAATGCCCAGCAGATACAGATTTTGTATGCAAAAACAAGAAATGCATCGAGCACCACCACATCTGTGACTATAAAGACGATTGTGAAGATCAGTCAGACGAGAAAGATTGCAGTATGTAAAGCTATCACTGGACAAGCTCCATAGCATCTATAAAATGCCTTCTGTATCTTTATTTTATTTAATCACCAGATACCTATAAATGGAATACTGACAAATGAACATGACAGGGTACTGTTATGTGCAGTGCTTTTGAAAGTAAAACACACAGACCATATACAGTTCTAAATGCATATAATAAAATTGAACTACTCAGCAAGGCCATCTGTTTCACAACTGTTGTCCTTTATTACATTCAGAAAGGTCCTGGAACCACTGTGCACTTTTTCTCTCTTTTCTATTGATATTTGGATGGAAGACGAGTAACTCTAAGTCTGCACCCTAATCGATAATTCTACTATTGAGTCTTGGCCTCCGTACTCCATGATGGTTTGTTCTTGAACACAAATCAGGGTTATATGTAAAGTACATCTTGGAAAATTGCTCTTATAGAAGAGCAATTAGCATTTAAATTATATTGGAATACAAATTTCACCAAGAAGAAATTGACCTCTAAAGTGTCACTGTCATTTATAAGGGTATATGCATTTTGGTTTTTTTTTGCCAATAATACAGATGGTGACACAGCTGTTTGGGGTGCATAGCCCTGTGGGTTCAGTGTGGGTAAGTTATACTTACCTGAAGTGTGTCCCCCGTGACCGCTGCTATCTTTAATTTTCAGTGCCTGGCACATCATCCACCGGTAGCCCACGTCAGTGCCGTACTCTTGTGCATGTTTAAGAACGCATCACTGATGTCTACGGACGATCACACAAGACTGAAAGAGACTCCATAGATATTAAATGAAACAGTGCTTATTCTAACAGCCATCGCTGGCAACAGTTAGGGGAATTGACAGAGTTTGATGGCGGTAGCTCGGCCTTTTGTCTTGAATTGTCAAGCTTTTTTGTAAAACAAAGTTGTCCCTCACTTTATCTTGTGATATCTTTTCAATGACATTCCAAACACACTCGATACAAGCTTTTCATAAAGAACGGCTATTTATGAAATGCTCAAAAAAAGTATGACAGAGCCACTTTAAATGATTATTATTAGGATCTCAAATAAAGAATTGGTTCAAAGCTACTATGTTCTCTAACTTTTGCAATTCATTTCTCAGTTTGCCAAAACACACAAAAAAAGGATTACATTTAAAAAATACATATGACCCATTGTGAGTGGGACACACACCGAACTTTATTTACATTATTGCCTATCATTACATTTCATATTGTAGCACAAACTGGACTAAAATTCTGCATTATTACCATGTGTTTATAATGTAACTATTAGCAAAAAAGAAATGATGCATAGCAGGTAAGCTTTTAAAAAATTCAGGATATGGAAAATTAAAATTTTAAATCATGTTATTTATGATTTTTACACTCTGTTGAAAAGCACTGAAGCAAGAACTAGAGTTAAAGAATGGAAATTCCTTTGTGAAATTAAATAAATGCATTAAGCCAGGAACCGCTAATCCCATAATAGACTTATAGGAAATCGTACACAGTTTGAACAGCAGTAAAACTAAGATGCTTGAGAGGGGAAGAGGAGAAGTTGATTTAAGTAAATTAAACATTAATCTTTCAGCCTTCATAGTAAAGGATTTTAGTGTAAATTAAAAAGAACATTCAGAATAATGGTCCCAAAAGCACTTTTTTGTCATTAATCAGTTTAGACCGTGATTTAAAAAATAATAATTTAAATTATTTTTGTGCAATTTTTATTCAGGCAAATATAGCAATTTATCTGGCAACTGCAATTTCGAACACCTTGATCAGAAAGGGAATTTTATATGTGATCTTACACAAGATCAAAACGATGATTTTGACTGGACGTTGCAAAGGAATATTCCTAAAGGAATAAACGCGGATCACACACCAGGTAAGAATCATATATGTCTTTTTTGAACTTTATTTATTTATTTATTTATTTTGTGGCTGCCTTACATAGAGGCTCTGCTCCAGGTGCTGGAAATATCGTTAAAAAAAAATTGTAATTTACTGAAAGTGAAAGTGCATAGTAAATTTATTCAATATTACCTTTGGTGAGCAATTTTATGCATAATACTCTCATGTAAAAAAAAAGCAAAAACTGTTTTTAAATTTTTTTAAATAGAAAGCATTAACGGATCAATTAATCCTTGCCTAACTTCACAATCTGTGATTATATCTTATATATGAGAACTTGGTGAGATAGCTCAGTGGGCTAATGCATCATCAGTAGAAACTCTTCAATCCTTGAGTCACATATTCAAATCCTGGCAGGGTTGACTCAGCCCTTCATCCTTTCATGGTAGATGAAATGAGTACCATTAAATTGGGTAATAGAAACAACTCCTTCATGTTGGGCTAACATCCCCAGAACGTACTTGAAAACCAGAGTAAACTGAATGTACTTTTCTAGGTTACTCTGTTATTATTATATTGTATATTACATCCTGGTCAATTAAAACATTGTACGCGTTTGCACAAGACACCTAATAATAGATATATCTGATTCCCTTAAACCTTCATGGATTGTAAGCTTGTTTGAACAAGGCCTTCTTTACATTTGAAAATCCACTTGTCACGATTCGGGGAACCCAACACGCTGGCACACACACACACACACAAAAGGTGCCGTACCGGACCTTAGAGTGGCCGGGCTAAGCACACACAGAATAGTCAGGAAACAAGCCGAGTAAGGGGAGCCAGAAGACAGAATAACGTGAAACGAGCCGAGGTCAAAGGGTAGGAGAAAGTCACAGAGTCAGATAAACAAGCCAGAGAGTATGTAACCAGAAGCACAAGGTAAGTAGCAATACTAGAAAGCAAAGACCACAACAGGGCAGGGAGGAACAGGAAAGGTAAGTATTTAAACCATAAGGTTAATTCTGATTGGATAATTTCCAATTAGAATTAACAATCACACGTGGGAGATATCTAGGCCTCCCACTGTGATTGAGGCACTGTGCCTTTAACGCCGGGTCAGGTGACTGACCCCGGCGTGTACAAACTTGGGCGGTCTCCCAGCGTGCAGCGTCATGTATGCTGCCGCTGGGGGACGTGGAGGAAACGGCGGGCGGCACCCGAGGCTGGAAGGATGCCGCTCGCCGGACCCAGGAGGAGGAGGGGACCGCGGACGGCTGGAGGGTGAGTACCGCGAGCGGAGTGCAGCCTCCCCTCGCAGCCGCCCGTGGGATCCCGACACCACTTTTTATAATTTAAAGCATTGCAGAATATGTTGGCGCTATTTAAATGCAAATAATATTGTTATTTTTATTGTGTATGTCTCTTCAAAGGTTGTGTAACAGCATGCAAGGCTCCTCTTCTTCATGTCCATACACATCACAAAGAACAGAATGTATTTGTGCTTTATGTATGTGGATCACATACTGGTGTCAGACCTTTAGAGTAGAACATTATTTGTCCTTGAGATCTAATTAGGTAGATTTGATTGTAAACCATTTGAATTTTGACAAAGCTAAGTTTTATCTGTTTACTCACTAAAAAGTCAGAATGTGCCCCAGGATTTCAAAGCTGAATACATATGGGAAATTTACTAAGACAAATGTAATTTAAGAAGGAGAATTGGCATTGCAGTGGTAAATACAGCAACAGCCCAGACAGTGGAGTTGAGTACATTCTAGCATCTAAAATGGAATTTATCAATTAGAAACAAAAGCAGTTCAGAAACAAACTGAAACTGAGCTTCCCAAAAAAATATTTTCTCTGGATTCATTTGATTAGCCCTGAAAGTTCAAAGAAAAATTCTCTGTCTTATAAGGTTCCAAAAAAGAACATTCTTTATCTTACATCTCCCTAAGTACTAATTCCTAAAAAAATAAATCAACACTTGTGATCAAGCAGGCAATTATCTATAACAGGAGGAAAATTAAAGGGCAGTTTTCCAGCGTTAGCTGAAGTAGTGAAATCAGGAATCCTACGGGATCTGGAAAGTGTTAAAACACGTGACTCTGCCAGAGAGTTTAGTTCAACCACTCCACATGCCTCAATTTGCTAATGTGTTTGAAACTGCTAGGATAACGTTTGATTATTTTGACAATCTTGAAATATTTTACAATCACACTTGGGTTAGTAAAGCATCAGACCACATTTTCATAACAACCCGGGCAGTACTTTATAAAACAATCAAGTCCTCCATGAGTGGAGGACCCTTGTGTGTTACCATGCACATGGGTGTTGATCACATTTGGTGTACGTGTCACATGAAGTGCCCTAAAACTTGGGAAGTAGAACCAGATAAGGCAAAACCTTGGGAAGGTGCAAGCCACATGGTCTCAGCATCTAAATGTTGGCAGGAAAGCATGGTAAAGTGGGAATTGGACACAAATCAATCAATTTGTCAATTTTAATGATAGCTTGTTACTGATTATTAATATTATTTATAAAGTGCCAAAATAAATTTTTTTAAATTATATATAGAAGGCATATGCCTGAAATTGTGGGAGGGCTTATTTTCCTATTTAAACCCCCAGTAACCCAGCTTACCTATCGTCGCCGTTTGGAAGTTCCTCTGTTCTGCTTCCGGTTCACAAAGCTCTGACGTCATTTCCGCCTGCCAGCTGTCTGTAAGAACACAGCCTTCCAAATGACTTTCATACACTTCGTGAGTATTAACAAAAACGAACGCAACCGTCGCACGAGCAGGCTTACTGGCAAATTCTACTAACTGTAAGTAGTTCATCTTCACGAACACCTTGGATTTCGTATGTTCATTCATACAAATCATTTCGTGGGATTCCCCCGTTCGGTTACATCTCCAGGCACTATGACGGCACAATTCGTATTAATTCAGTTTTCTATTCGTTTAAATGAAATACTTGTTTTAGGCTCCTTCATTCGTCCGCATTCGAACAGCATTTCGGGTATTAATTTGTGCCGTTTCCTAAAGCTTATTCAGTACTGTTCACGCCAGTTTGTATCAATACCTCTGCTTAAAAAATAGGCGCCATCGCGTAACAATTCATATCAATTCAGTTCTCCGTTCGTTTAAATTAAATACTTGTTTTAAACTGTTTCATTCGTCTGCAGTTTACAGACCATCCTTAGTGAGGGTAAAGCATTCGAACAGCATTTCAGGTATTAATTCATGCTGTTTTCCTAAGCCTTTTCAAAAATGATCATGTCACTAATATGTGGGAATATGTTTACTAAAACTTCTGAACTGTTACAGGAATTCTAGATAGTTTCCTTAGGGTCTCTCCCTCCCAGTGTCTGTGTACACGGGCTGGATTGTATTTGGATTGCATTCACCATTACATGCTTCCCATATCCCATGCTCCTGCATCCTATAATCTGCAAATATATATATATATATATATATATATCTTTATCAGACTCAAGTGAGGTATAGAAGGTTCCTTTTGTTAGTTTCTCTGCGCGAGTGCTGTCCCTTTAAGCGTGAATGCTTATAAAAGATGCACCCTGCAAAACCCGTGCTGATTTATTTATTTATCCCTGCACTGGTTTTATCCTTAAAAGATCCAGGGAAACTAACATATGGGTGCCTTGCTATAGATTAAACGCATTTGCGCCTCTATAGTGTGGAAACTACTGTGAGAGTTTTAAGTTGTATCTCATTGTCTTGTATCTGTCTGTGGGTACATTGTGTCCTCTTTCACTTGTCCTGTCTGTATTCTAAATACCTGCCTGCCACCAAAGACTCCTTGCTAAATCCCAGAGCACAGCTGGTCACCGTGCTACATGCTGTCCTATTTCCGCATGGCAACCGACCAACTTCCAAATAGCAACGGCTACACTTCCGGCCACCTCTCCAGCATGTGGCTGGATGGAATCTTCCGCCCGCCTAGCGCGGTGGTATGATTCCCGCGTCCAGTTGCCATGGCAGCAAAAGTCCGGAGTGATGGCCCGCAGCATGGCCCGGGTCTCTCAGGGCACTGACCCTGTGGGCAGCCTCATTATATGTCAAGTACCTGGGCAAGGCCCCTCCCGACGACAAAATATTATGTATTGGTATCTTTGTTTTACATACATCATGTTACAATACTGATTTTTCATATCTAAATACTGAACGAATGGTATCAAATTATTTACATATTTAGGTTATTAGTTATATTATTGTCAATTCTTACGAATACATTTGGGAAGCGTCAGTTAATCGTTATACACCTTCCATAGCAGCCAGTTGTTAAGACACGTAGCCGTTCATGCACACACAATGACCTGCAACATACTACTGTTTCTCTTCTTTTACTTCCGTCATTTCCGGCGGGCGGGAATGACGTCAGAGCTTTGTGAACAGAAGCAGAACAGAGGAACTTCCATACGGTTGTGATTCTCTGTCTTTGAGACTCTGGCCACGGCTGTTGTGCTGTTGCAAGACTAAATGTTAATTGTCTCATCAATGAAAAAAAAAATATATATATATTTTTAAATAACGTATACTCACCAGGCCACGATCTGGTACTTACGAGCCCCAAGGACCATACACACATACATACATATACGCTTTCTAGGTCATTCGTACTGACCACCGGTTTCCTCCAATATTTGTTTCAGGTAGTTTATTCCTTACATATATTGGGCTTCACGCTGCCTTTTACATTTACACACTGTTTGTATCGGACCATCGATAGGTTCTCAATACGCATACATATAGTGACTGCTTCCAGTCTTATTCATTACAGAATATACTAGTTATTACTTGGTGACACGTTAGAGGCATTTCAGTACATTGAGTTATAGATTACCAGACCTTGACTCATACTATCGCATAATTATCACGTCAATTATATAATACAATGTAGGTTAAAGCATTAGCAAGTCTAATTAAAAACAGGGTAAACCAGAATCCCACTTGTTTCATATCAAACATCAAGGCATCACCTGGCCTTCATTATGACCAAAACGAATACATTTCAATTCCTTGACAGCTAATAGGGACTTGTCTCTGCACACTTGACATTCGCAAAGTTCTCCATGCGCGTTCAATCATTTGTTACGCTATTTAATATTACATATGTTATTTACGTTTCAAAAAATCCATCAGGATTAACTTTCGGTCATGCTATCTGTTTCTGTCTAAGAAGTTACACCTATAGGCATCTTATAATACAGACTATTACGATCCCAAGCCTATGAAATAAACGGTCACAAGGGTAGCTATTTTACGACACATATCATCTTTAAGTTTAAACCTCAATCAAAGCTCCTTTTCAGATTCTTATCTTAAGAGCACACATATTTCCCCTACTATTAGTCACTGTATTGTAATTCTAGTTTCACATCACATCCGGTAGTTTTGTCAAATGCCTTTTCCAGTCCTATTTCTCTATCTATCCACTTTGCTCATGCATATACGGTTATGTTAGCGCTCACACACAAAAAACAAGCCCTGCCAAGGGTGAGAAGAACTGACCTTAGTCAAATATTGCACAAGGCCAACTACTCACCTCAACAAGGAGGTTCCGCCCAATGGCCCAACTCAGAGCTAGCGCCTCGCCTACTCTTCTGCAGGGTCTTAGGTAGGGCCTCACATGTCACAGACACAAGTATCGTCTCTTTTACCACCACCAAGAGGTCAACACCCGCTACAACACAAAGTAGCTACAAGTCCACACGGCCCAAATCAAAGGTAGAGCCTCTCACAGTCACTGGACAAATAGCAGGGACTCATCTCTCACTGGTTAGTCAATATCTTCGCTTGTCAGTACTCGTTAACAAACAAACTCCACACAAGCGATATTTCAATTGGAATCAAAGTTCTGCATGGTTAAAATTTGTATATTTTTCTCTCTCCTTCCTTCCTTACAGGATGCTACAAGTAGTAACTCCAGGTGACATTTTATCTTTAACAGACACTCTAACTCTGTCGTCCCAGGTCCCCTGCAATATCCCCTGCCCTGACCACTCCTAATCCCTTGAAGTCTGGCCTTGCTGAAAGGTAATGGCTGAGCTTAAAGTACATTCAGCCCAGAGATCCTCTACAAAAAAAACAAAAAAACCCACTAATCATGCCTTAAGTTAGTTTGATCAATTACGCAGGTAAGTTTGTCTACCAATACTAAGGCAACTTACCCTAAAGCTTACGATATGTGTGAGACTTGTATATAATTCAATACAAAAGCATTCCAATTGTAAATGGTTGCTTGCACCAATTTTTGCCACTTCTCTTTGAAACTAACCTACAATACAATTGAAACTATACTTACAAGATTTAACATTACATATAGACAATATACCCAACAGCTCCCTATTGGTTTTCTTATTCAGTAAAAGGTGCTAACTGGTGTCAGAGATCAAAAACTCCACAAATCATCCAATTCACTCCCTAGGGACAGTAACCTTAGGGGAAGTCTTCAAATTAAAAATTAAAAGTCCCTTTAATAACCCCACTAACATAGTAATTAAGTCAGCAACTTACTTGGCTTTCAACGGTCTTGAGACCATAAGATAGTATTTTACTGTCGGAAAGAATTCAACCTTCACTCATACGTCAAGAGTTCAAGAATCAACGAACATTACATTATATCTACTCCTCATACCAAACATTTCAATCAGGTATTTTAGATTGTGCCCGGTTCAAACTTTATACTCATAATCATAGACCAGATTAGCCAGGTCCCTAGCTACCCATTACTTTCTCTAATAACTATATTTGTTACTTTAGTACTCCACCGAGTCTTTAATCCTTCCCTCTATTCGGACCACTCATTTCATACAACAGCAGCCTCTAATGGACAGGTTGCGTCAATACATTATTAGAATTATGGCACGTTGGATAACAATAAGAACATTTCTAACCCAGGACGGAAATCAAACCTCCGGTCGATAATGTAAATTAACAATTGCTAATTGTGGGAAATTAATATTGTCATATACTTTTGCCCTCTTTTACAGGCCTAACCTCTCGTTGGTTTCGGCACACCTCAACCGACTTTGGCCTTATCGAACTACATATTTTAATTGTACATCCTCTGATTACCCCGTACACAAATAATATATATGAGTGTGTGCACTTAAAGAATAAGCATTAAATTACAATGTAACAAACACATTGTCAAAAGTGCAAAAAAGTACTTAGTTATAAAGACACAGTCATCTTGAAAAAATCTTGGTCATGAAATAGTTAAATGAGTTACAGTTTTAGTAAATTATGAAACGCATGACACAAAATGCGTTAAAAAGCAAGTCATACTATGATATTGTGATCACGAACAATATTTATTTTTTGTAAAATTTTGAAACCAAAAATTATAAATTGTTTCAATGCTGAGATTTTTACCTACTTTTTGAACTGGCAGGTATGAATAAAAGATTCATTGCATAAGGATGCAATGGACTTTGGAAGGGAATTTCTTTTTAGTCTAAATTACGAAGTTACTACATTCTGTTACAATATATAATTTAGTGAACAATCCTAGTTGACAATTTTGGAATATTTCCAGTCTATCAAAATGAGCTGTTAGAATCTATACACTGATTACTGTCCCTTGCTGTTTCTTTCTGAATGTTTTCTGAGCCTGCTGCTGACTTCTCAGTTCTGATGTTGTGGCACTCATTCCATACTCCGTGAAGTTGATTATATCTATACTTTAGGAAAGCATTAGAAGCAAATTACTTTTTTTTTCACGATTTTAAAAGCATATAGGCGATTTAAAAATCATTACAAAAATATAATAGAAAAAAAGTGATGTTCTGTTGGTGTATAATGAAGATACTAGAAAATGCTGTAGTTTTCAGGGAATGATAAAAAAGAAGAAATTGTCTAATGCCACAATGCGGAGAAGTCAATAATCACCATTTTATCATGCTAATTGTAAATAGTCCTTCAAAGAATTGCCTTGCTTTGAAGTTTAGGAGATTCAGAAATACAACAGAAGTAGTGTCTTTAAATAATGACATTTATTGAATACATTGATGTTTGGCGTTGGTAATGATACCATTATAAATAGTAACTGGAAGAATGTTTCAGTACTTTGGTTGAAGATTCTTTTTTTTTTTTTGCTTCAACCACAATTCGACTTTTACAAAAAGATTGCAAAAATTGTTCTCAGAATGAATATGAAACACAATAATATGTGTGGCATTTTTTTATTAAGGGATATACTGTTTAAAAGATTAGCTCATCTGTTGTATCAAGGGCCTCCTGATGCTACTTACAAATCTCTTGTAGCTGCGTCTCGAATAACAGAACAGCAGTGTTTTGTAATATGATTGTAGATTATCCTACCCTCCAAGGTGGAAAAGAAACATTCAAGCAGAGTGTAAAGGTGGTTTATAAATTACTTTAATAAGCACAGATGGGCAAGACATTGGGTGATCCTTTCTGATAAAGGATTAATGTTACAGCTAAAAAAGTATTATCTTGTCTGACTTGTTCCGGAGGTAATGCCAACTTCAAAAAGATTTGGCCAATTTTCATTGTTTTTGTGGATGAAATATTGTTGGGGCTCTTTTTTCCAAACAGTGAGTTGACGTGTATTGGCAAAATACTTGAAAAATCTACACCAAAAGTTCAGAGCTACAAAATATATAATATAAAGTTGCCATTGTTTTACAACAAAGATGTTTCAGTCCACATAGTGAGTTAAAAGTTAACAACACATTAGAAACCTCACAAATATATACAAGATGTAAATGAACTCTAGATGTCAGTTTTTAAGATGGTGGCACTCCTCTGACAACAATAGAGGGACATTGGAATATAAATGGAGGTTGGGATAGCTTATGAATGGTAGGATCAGAAGAATGTCATAGAGGTGGGTCACCTCACCATGCAGAAATTAGGTCAAAATCATAGAATAGGGCATAGTGTGTATTTCTGGTCTTTAGAGTGGTTGGGTTAATGCAAGATTGTAGGGAATATTCGTAAATGGAAGCAAGCCAAGGTCAGAATTGCAAAGATATAGAGAAATGAGAAAACTAGCCAAAGTTACTTTAGATACTCAGAATCAATTAAACAAGTCATGGTCTATACCAGAAGTCAGAAATATATGAAAACTGCGCTAATGGAGTCACAATGGAAACCACAACAGGGCAAGGATCGTAGGGCAAAAACACTATTTAAATAATTAGATGCACTTTAACTGGTCCACGTCCCTCGTGCAACACCAAAAAGTACAATAATGATGTTGTAGGCATGATACGGGCCAGTTAGAACTGGAAGTGATATTCCATGCATGATTTTCATTAAAAGACAAATAGAAGCATGCCAGCATTTGAGAGGGGAAACATAAAGTGCCTTGGCATTCAAAGAAGGAAGGTAAATAGAATATGGCAGTGGGGCAGTGGATAAGGCAGACTGGCTAGGGAAAAAATATGAGACTGGATTGAGGGAATAGAGATTGTGATGGTGGGGAGACTGGTTGAATTGTGGAGTGGTAAACAGAATTGGGAGTGGTAGGGCCCAGAAGCTGTGGCAAATTCAGGACAAGGTGATCCAGTTAAAACATGTATTTATTATTACATTTATTATGCAAAGCAACATTTTAAACTCCATTTTCACTCCATTTAGAGTATTGTAAATTTGAGCAAGGCATCACTATGCTTTCTGTTGCGACACTGAAAGTTTAACATGGTGCTACTCACTAGAGAGTTCATGTGCCTGGTATTACCATCTATAAAATGGCTCACCATGTGTAATGAAGTCCATGGCTCCCATGGAGTGGTTTTACTAAGATTGGAAGCCTTTACTTTTTGCTATTGACAGTGAATTACACCAACAACTCAATGGAATATTGTTTACAACTTTTGTCCAACACCAAAAAAATAAGAGCTTTGGGTTAAAATCAATCATATAGTCCTTGGTATTAAAAGTCATGTTGTCTGACCCTTTGAAGCACGTTTACATAATCTAATCTTACTTGAGATATTCTAGACCTAGATTTTTTCCACAGTTTCCGCACACTGTGAGCCTTCCTATTCCTCTAGTGATATTAAATTTATTCACAACTTCCCATGCTCAAAGCTTTAAACAAAAATGTATCTTCCTTTTTCTGTGGACCCCTTATAACAGATTTAATTTCATTCTGAGTATCCAAAATATATTCTTCCCAACAAGCACTGACATCAAACTCTGAAGAGACACTATAGTCACCAACCTTAGCTTAATGAAGCAGTTTTGGTGTATAGATCATATCCCTGCAGTCTCGCTGATCAATTCTCTGCCTTTTACCAGTTAAATCACTTTGTTTTGCAGCCCAAGGCACACCTCCCTGCATGTGACTTACAAATCCTTCCTAAATACTTCCTGTAAAGAGTCATCTAATGTTTACACTTCCTTTATTGCAAATTATGTTTAATTCAGAATTTCTTATCTCCTTCTCTGTCTAGAAACTTCATAATTAAAGTTCAATTTACAGAGCAGGAGATAACCATTTTTAAAGTAAGTTACACCTGACTGAAAATTAAACCATTGTGTTCTAGCGCAGTTTGTGTCAGTCACAGACAGGAAGGTGTGGCTAGAGCTGCATACACTGAAACAAAAGTGATTTAACTAAGAAATGGCAGTGAATTGAGCAGTGAGAACTCAAAAGCATTATCTACAGTCAGGTCCATAAATATTGGGACATCTACACAATTCTAATCTTTTTGTCTCTATACACCAACACAATGGGTTTGAAATGAAACAAACCAGATGTGTTTTAACTGCAGACTTTCAGCTTTAATTTGAGGGTATTTACATCCAAATCGGGTGAACGGTGTAGGAATTACAACAGTTTGTATATGTGCCTCCAACTTTTCAAGGGACCAAAAGTAATGGGACAATTGGCTGCTCAGCTGTTCCATGGCCAGGTGTGTGTTATTCCCTCATTATCCCATTTACAAGGAGCAGATAAAAGGTCCAGAGTTCATTTCAATTGTGCTATTTGCATTTGGAATCTGTTGCTGTCAACTCTCAATATGAGATCCAGAGAGCTGTCACTATCAGTGAAGCAAGCCATCATTAGGCTGAAAAAACAAAACAAACCCATCAGAGAGATAGCAAAAACATTAGGTGTGGCCAAATCAACTGTTTGGAACATCCTTAAAAAGAAAGAACACACGGGTGTGCTCAGCAACACCAAAAAGACCCGGAAGACCACGGAAAACAACTGTGGTGGATGACCAAAGAATTCTTTCCCTGGTAAAGAAAACACCTTTCACAATAGTTGGCCAGATCAAGAACACTCTCCAGGAGGTAGATGTATGTGTGTCAAAGTCAACAATCAAGAGGAGACTTCACCAGAGTGAATACAGAGGGTTCACCACAAGATGTAAACCATTGGTGAGCCTCAAAAACAGGAAGGCCAGATTAAAGTTTGCCAAACAACATCTAAAGAAGCCTTCACAGTTCTGGAACAACATCCTATGGACAGATGAGACCAAGATCAACTTGTACCAAAGTGATGGGAAGAGAAGAGTATGGAGAAGGAAAGGAGCTGCTCATGATCCAAAGCAAGCCACCTTATCAGTGAAGCATGGTGGTGGTGGTGTCATGGCATGGGCATGTATGGCTGCCAATGGAACTAGTTCTCTTGTAATTATTGATGATGTGACTGTTGACAAAAGCAGCAGGATGAATTCTGAAGTGTTTCGGGAAATATTATCTGCTCATATTCAGCCAAATGCTTCAGAACTCATTGGACGGCGCTTCACAGTGAGAATGGACAATGACCCGAAACATACTGCAAAAGCAACCAAATAGTTTTTTAAGGGAAAGAAGTGGAATGTTATGCAATGGCCAAGTCAATCACCTGACCTGAATCCGATTGAGCATGCATTTCACTTGATGAAGACAAAATTGTAGGGAAAATGCCCCAAGAACAAGCAGGAGCTAAGGACAGTTGCAGTAGAGTCCCGGCAGAGCATCACCAGGGATGAAACCCAGCATCTGATGATGTCTATGCGTTCCAGACTTCAGGCTGTAATTGACTGCAAAGGATTTGCAACCATGTATTAAAAAGTGAAAGTTTGATTTATGACTGTTAATCTGTCCCATTACTTTTGGTCCCTTAAAAAATGGGAGGCACATATACAAACTGTTGTAATTCCTACATCGTTCACCTGATTTGGATGTAAATACCCTCAAATTAAAGCTGAAAGTCTGCAGTTAAAGCACATCTTGATTGTTTCATTTCAAACCCATTGTGTTGGTGTATAGAGCCAAAAAGATTAGAATTGTGTCGATGTCCCAATATTTATGGACCTGACTGTATACACCAAAACTGCTTAATTACGCTAAAGTTGTTTTGGTGACTATAGTGTCCCTTTAATGCAACAATTATTTTGTAAATGAAAATCCCCTACTAAATAAAGCAAATTCCTGAAATTAAAAAGATAATGTGTAGTACTTGGACAGCTAAAATATATCCCTTTGGGATGTACTCCATCATACAAAGTAGTCTAATTTACAAGATTCTCAAACAACATTTAATTTATGTCTCAATTATTTTCTATGTGTTATTTACTAATATTTAATACCTTGTTTTGTTTTAAGGAGGTGGGCTTAATTTCCTGTATGCCAATTCATCTAGGCAGCAAGAAGGGGACTCTGCACGAATATTCACAACAAACCTTTTCAATGCAACTGAAGAGCACTGTAGAGTGCGCTTTTGGTATTATTTAGATGGACCTCCAGAGTCGGGAATACTGAAGGTACTGTGTGCAAATTAGAAAGACATCATTTTCTTTCATATAAAGATGATAAGTTTGTGAGTTAAAATGCCCTTTATTATACAGAAGGAGGTTATACTGGTGTTCCACTTTATCCCAGCAGGAATGATCTCTAAGAAGAACACATTATTTTTCATAAAAAAAAGAAGCATGCAATTTAGGTGTTCTTGGGTGGTTGAAAGCTCTTTTTACTGAGCGGAGTAGTATTTTTCGTAAAGCTAGAAACATAACCTTTGATTTTTTTTTTTTTTTTTAATTACATAGAAACATAGAATGTGACGGCAGATAAGAACCATTCGGCCCATCTAGTCTGCACAATTTTCTAAATACTTTCATTACTCCCTGGCCTTATCATATATCTAGAATAACCTCTTGCCCATCCCATGCATGCTTAAACTCCTTTGCTGTGTTAACCTCTACCACATCAGCTGGAAGACTATTCCATGCATCCACTACCATTCATCAAAGGTTATGTTGCTATCTTCACAAAAAATACTCCCACGCTCAGTAAAAAGAGCTTTCAGCCACCCAAGAACACCTAAATTACATGAAACATTGATTATTTCTTAGTGAAACTATCATATTTTTGACAAGTTCCACTGTTTCCATTTATTATTCTAGAAGTAAAATAATAGCATTCAAAATATATATTTTTTTATTAGTAGTTGCAGTTTTCACACCTGAGGCCATAGGCATTCTCATTTTAATTTAATTTCAAAGACCTCACTTGGGTCAGCTACTTCATCTCACGACCTGCTTTCTTGGATGCACGTCAACTGAAAGTGTTGCAAATGTACAGGGCTTCCGATGTGTGTGCTGGTAAAATATATGATACTAGATTCTAGTAATTTTTTGCTGCCATGGTACAGCTTAAAGAGTGATATTGAAGAAATAATGAGAAGAGTAATATACTTAGGGGCTTTTGAACTAAGTTCTAGTCATCTGTCTCTTAAATGAACACTATAGGATCAGGAATAGAAAAGTGTATTCCTGACCTTATAGTGTTAGAAAACCATTTTAGGCCCAAGATCCCTGTTGCCCCCCTTGCCTCTTTTAAAAAGAACAGCTATGTGAGGGTCTGCCGGTGTTGGCTCCCCCTCCGCTCCAGTTCCTAGGCTAAATGAGTTTAAAACAGGCTAGTGATATACATTAAAACAAGTTAGAAAAAAATATCTTAAAAAAATCTCAATCTATCGATCTTTTGATTAATGGTTTATTTTTACTACAGCGAGCCAAAGTCACTGTCTTTCATAACACCTCTCGTGAGTCTCAACCTTTTTCACAATTGTCATAACGTATTGACTTGTTCCGTAGTTATTGTCTATGTTTGTTCAAGTATTTGCTGTTTACCATCACATTAACGTGTCAGTAATGCGCGAGAAAGTGACAAAATGGATTGTGCAGCCTTTTGCCTTCTGCGACTTTTCAAAGTCATCCATATTTTTATGATTGGTTTGCATGCGGCATGAAGGGTATCCTTTATCGCAAGACTGATTGTTTTTTTCATCAGCATAATTTGTTGTCTGGTTGAAGGCAGCTATGCCATCAATCAGAATATGCTGTTACACGTACTCAAGATAATGGTAAGCCACATAACGTGTTATTAGTTTCTGTTATGCATTAATTTAAGTGTTTATGTGAGAGACTATATTACTGTGTATAAAATCTCCATCTCCTAGACACACGCTTACACACACACACACACACAGACACACACACACACACAAACACTGGATAGTATATATAAACAAAATAATAGTAATAACTGGTGAGATAGCTTAGTAGGTTGATGAGCAAATTATAGGAGCTGTTCTACAATTCTACCGGATGTAGGTTTTTACAAATTACATTTATTTCCAGGACTTACTTGAAATTGATAAAAGAAAAAATAATTGCATCTTTCTTGTTAGGTAATTTTGATTATATGCAGTAAGACTCAGTAGCCTGTCATTTTGGGCGCCAATTTTACCAATTTTTTTTCTTTTTCTCTTCCATTTGTCTGCATACCCCATTCACTATCCTTACACCATTATAGGACCTACCACAAGTTGTATGTGTACAGGTGTTTTTTTTATGCATGTAGCGTAAATTCTGTTTGTTCACAATCAAACCAATAGGATTATTTTCCACAAATGCTTTTGTTTTTCTTTGTATATGTCTTCATATATGCTACTGCTTTATTAGACTGAGAACAAGGGCATATTTATGTTACATTATAAAATTGATACAAAAATACATGATATTCCAATGTATTTTATTCTTGACAGGTACATATGGATAACAGTTATGGATTAAATATTCTTTTATGGTCGAAGACTGAGAGCAAAAGAAAGAGTTGGATGTATGCTAGTGTAATCCTTTCTAACAGTAATCCGTTCAGAGTGGTGTTTGAAGCTCAAGTAGGGAGGGATAGATATACAGGAATTGCTATTGATGATATCACCTTTACACCAGAGTGTTACTTTGGAGGTAAGTTTTTTTAACTTTTAAAAAAAAATTTTTTATTGGTTTATTTTGTTTTGTATTGTACTAATTTTCCTATCCAGGTCAGTAAACATTCTGTATACTCGCTTTTTAACATGCAGCGTTAAATGGTTACTCCAAGCACCATGACCTCTTAGGTGATGTGAAGTTGTCATGGTGATTGGAGTCTGTATGTTCAGCACTTTGCTATGAAATTATGCACATACAGAGTTTAACCTCTTTGCAGTTGGAGTGGTAACTCCTCCTCCGGCAGCGTTACTGGCGTTATTGGGGCATCATTAGCCAGCCTGGAGCAAAAGTTCCAGGCTGCCTAATGTCAATTTTGTGCATATTTCTATGCACAGAGTATCATTAATTGGCTGAGACCAGTCAGCTGACACTTTCAGCCAACGAATGGCTGACCAAATCAGTGATCCGGATTCTGCAGAAGGCACATGTGCGTCAAGCATCAAGATCCAGGTAATAGGTCAAACCACTGGAAAACAGTTTGGTCCCATCATACCACCAGGGACCATAACCACTAGGGTGGACTGTACTGATTATGATACTTGGAGTTACCTTTTAATCTATCCTATTCTGATTACTCCACCACATCTATTTTCCTTACTTCTAATAAGTAAATTAGAGATTTTATTTGTGATATTCTTTTTACTGCTTTTAAAAAGGATTAGAGCATGGTAGGCTACTGGCCTTGAAAAATTAAAATTTTGTTTTGCATTAATTTGTGCATCCAAGCTGTTTTTGTAGCCTGTAAGTGAGGGAGCTGTATTCCCTGTGAAATTTGGGCTTTGTATTGATCACTGATAAAACTATTTTCAGAATCTTTATCAGGGCTGATAAAATAGAGCCCCATGAGACAAAATGAGTAACAAAGTAATGATGTCCGTGATCTTTCTGTTATCTCATAATGTAGCACTATTATTAACCTAGTTTAAAAGGACATTAATTCAAATATACTCCAGTCCTTTCTTCTTTTATAATTTGTTTCAAAAGGAAAGTTAAAGCTTAAGCAAAATCAAATGAAAATGTTCTAGAGCATCTTTATATATAGCAAATTGTGTTTCTTTGGTGGAGTGAAGCATAATGGTTTTGATGTATCGTGTCAACAAATGGAATAAAAAAACAGCACGTTGATAAGATCACCAAAAATTGCTGCCCCGTACATTGTAAATTATGTATTTTTATTAAATAATTTAAAGGAACACTCTATGAATGATAACCTATACAGCTTGCAGAATGTTTAGATGTTTAGTTTTGTCTCTCTTGGGTCAATTCCAACCAGATTGGAAATTCTCATCTGTGCTAAAGTCAATTCTGAATGTGCACCATTTGGAGAGATGAATTTGGGGTCAACTTTAAAAGTGGTGGTTTTCACATGCAATCCCTGTGGTATCTGGAATATTTACAAAACATTGACTTTAAACAAATCTGGACCAAATGCATCCAGCAGGATACACTTTCGAAAATTATCATTCACTTTCTTTTTGCAAGCAAACCATAATTATAAATACTATTTTCACTAAAAGTGAGCAAAGAAATAGCTGATAAAACACTTGGCGATGTGAGGCTTATCAATGTGGAGGCAGGACAGTTCCTGCTAGGCGGCACATTTAAAGGTAAAAAGAAAAAAAATCCCATTCATCACAGGAATAATGACGGAAAAATACCCCGCAAATCACAAAAATAACGACGGAAAAATAAACTGCACTCCGATTGGTTAGCTTTTAAACCCTGCGTCAAATTTCAAAGAATTGGAAGGAATTTACGAAGGCCTATCCCATCTTGAAATGTCAGATTTGCATGTTTAACCCTCATGTTACCAATGTTTTTTTTTACCACCGGGCAAATAGTTCAGATTTTAATAAGCTGTGTTTGGATTTCCATCAGCCGGCTGTGTTCAGTTTGGGTGAAATAAAGAATAAATGTAGGCGCATTTGGGGCCACTTGTTTGACTGGTGCTATAAAGAGTGCTGATTGCAAACTCTGGTGTTAGTTTTAATTGGGTGACTAAAAACACACAGCAGTTATAACCTCATCTCATTAAAACCCCCTTCTGCTAATTGTAAGTGTGGGATTTCAGAGTAAGCTGTCATCTCCTTGCCTGTATAGGTCACGCACAGTGCTAATCAATTTCATGTTCACTGAAAGGAGGGAATGTCAAACTATTTCCCTCTCTATTACACAATACAGGAGGTTATGGAAGTGCTGTTTAGGAATGTGTGTAAGTTTTGAGCAAGAAAGGAAATGAGACCTGGCACAGTGATCAAACAAATGTCCACTGATTGTAGAAATTAAAAGGATCATCCAGTGCTGGTGCAGTGGCTTGCGGTAGTCCAACAGGTGGACTATTGTGAGTGGGCAAATAATTTACAGTAAGGGGGCCTGGAGGACAAGACAAATTGGCTGACATACATACAACAATAGAGACAGACAGATATGTAGCACTGTACTCACTGTGGGTCTGCTTGTGTGACTCATCTTTGTCTTCAACAAGCTGCATGACTTTAGCATGTAAAAGAAAATATTTTATCACGCAAATAAAATACAGCATGTTAATCGGGCCAAAATCAAACGCATTAAATTTGTGTCTGTGCCCAGAGTATACCTTTATGGAATATATTTGATTTTATATATAGAAAGTTAAATATTGTGAAAGGCACAGAATACAATTCTTGCTTTTTTTTGCATAATATATATTTTTAAAAATTGCTTATGATTGACATTTAAGAACATATCAATCCATGCATCTATCCATCCATCTATCGAATTGCTTTTAAAGATTTAATAACTAATACTGTAGATCAGAGATAGGCAACCTCTGTCACTTCACAAGCTGAGATCTACATCTCACATAATGCTTGTACAGTTGTAATGTTGGCAAAGCATCAGGGGAGATGTAGTCCATAACATCTGGAGTGCCGAAGATTGCCTACCTCGGCTGTAGGTGAATAGAGTCCATAAGGTATAAATTGTGGCTGAAATCTTTGACAGCTCATGTCGCCATATATAACGCTATTCAAATTCCTATTTTATTCTGCTGTGTTTATTGTCATTTTTATATTTTTTAATACTAATGCATTTAAATGAATCGCGCAATAATCCAGTGTTGACATTTGATTTGCTAATAAAATAAATTCATTTTTTGTAGATTTACAACTTACATTCAATTTTCTGTCATTATTTAAATTCAGTTTGTTAGTATTCCATGGACATATGTATGAATAATGAACTTAATTTGTGAACTCTCCTGAAAGTAGCAGGAGACACTGCATGTCAGAAGAGGCAATGGGCAATTTTAAAACCAATTAGATTTTCATGTATTAAACTATTGGATGTATGCAATTTATTCAATGCAAACCGGACCAATGACAAAAACAATGCAATCTGACTTATATTGCCTACTGATTCAATTTACCATTCTGGGAAAATAGTCATAATTGTATTATAATAGTACGAATGATAGAAAATATTGATACATATGAATACATTGGGGATGAAAACTTTAATTTTCTCCATAGTTCCCTTTTGTTACACCTCACTTAGTATCCTCTGTGAGTCCCGATCTGCTACTGTGGACAGTATGTTTACTCTCTGCCCAGACCAGTCCACAATATTATTATTATTAATGGTGTTTATAAAGCACTAACATCTTCCACAGCGCTGTGCAATAGGGGGAAAGACAGTACAGAATAGACAAACCCTGCCTAAGAGCTAAGAACTAGCGTATACAGCTCTTTCTTACAAAGTACTAAGCTAGTTGGCACAGGAGTCTACAATATGAAAGTTATGATGGGAACTTGCGACTAGATCGAGCAGAGGACATTTGAATATAATTGACAGAGATCCTTAGGGCATTTGCTCAAATGTGATGTAATTGGGGAGGTAATTGAGGAAGATGGCAAACACCTGGAAAGGCATCGATTCCCTATCTGGTGTCAAACAGTGTCAACTTAGTTCCTGATAAATTGTGAATGCTTTCTTACTGAACTGTATTTTTCTGTATTGACCCGTGACTTGTATATTATTACTGTTGATCTGTTAATTACTCTGGCAATACTTTCTCTTGTAACTTCAGGTAGTCTTCTTCTACTATTCTAGCCTGCTTGTTGATATTCTTGCCTCTGTGGACTTGTTTTTGTTGAGCTAGACTATCTCTAAGGACTAGTATATGTCTTACCGTACATAGCTGACATCCAATCCTTATCCTTCTCACCTATGTTCCTCACAATGTTATTTATCGTATTTGTAAACGTGTCTTTGATTCCTATAACTGATATTAGCAATTAGCAATTACAAAATAGAGCACGGGGAAATAGCCTCAGATAAGTCAATTAAACAGAATAAGCTTTGGAGACTTAACTTATCTAACCAAACGATGAGAGGGTTATACATCATGGATTCCCCATCAAGAACTACTACTTGATGATGGAAGTTGAGAGAACAATTTGAAGTGAATCTTTGTAACATTTATAACAAATGTAAAGCCTTAATACCAAAAAACAGACCCCCACACACACGTGGTCTCTTACCCTTTCTGAAGTTTTGATAAAATTAGGGGATTTGAAGAGGACATTTGATGATAACGCCAGTATTTTTGTATTTAGGAGTGGAAGTATGCAATTTTGATGATAATTATAAGAATGATGGTATAATTCATAATAAAAATGTACAGCATTCTGCTATTTTTTTCTGATTTATTTTTTTAATATTTATGCAGGATAATAGTATAAAGCACACCAGCAATTTGAGTTAAATAACATAAATGCAGTTGTTACACAGTAAAATATGTTGCAACCATGAGTATATGTATGCTTGACGTTAATACCATGTTTGTTTGTTTGTTTTTTTTTTTTGTTTTTTTTTTTATCTAAATCACATAAACTGACATGTGGTGCATTCCTTCCAGGGTCAATATCACCAAAGCCGACTTGTCCCCCTAACTCCTTTACCTGTGTCTATGACAAAGAGTGCATTCCTCTTTCTGCCGTGTGTAATGGGACAGAGGACTGTATTGATGGTAGTGATGAAATCAGTTGCTCCACTGTGGCGCCAAGTACAGTAAAGCCAAAGAGATGCAAGAAAACCGAAGTCCAGTGTGGAGATAACAGATGCATCCCATCTCTAATGTGGTGTGATGGTGTTTCAGACTGTCAGCTGGGAGAAGATGAAGAAAGATGTGGTGAGAATTTGAGTTATTCTTAACATACTAATGGTGATATATTTGGTACCAGAATAACATTGCTGTTGACTTGGCAAGAACAACATAAAATGTATATTATACATTTAGTTAACATTTCTTACATATCTCCCTTATCCAGAATACTTCACTACAGGTGATTAGTTCAAGAATCAATGAATAGATGAACACAAGCCTTTCTAGAATTAAACAAATTCAATCACATAAACCCGCTGAAATCATAAATATCAGATGGGCAATTGGTGGTATTGCAAATGCAAAGAAAATGAACAGGTCAGCTTGATGGGTAAACCCTTGTGTAGCAACAAAAAGTGAGAAGATTAGTAAGGTATTATATAGGGTAATTGAAGACTTCTTTGAAAAAATGTGTCTTTACTGGTTAGAATGAATACAATCAGGAAACAAAACATGTAAAATGAGGGTTGGTTACGAGTTACATAAATGAATGAGAAGACAGTAAGGAATACAATGGAGTGAAGAGAAGGTGCAAGGGCTTTATTTTAAACTTATTTTTATAGTAAAGTAAGGACTTTGTATTGAACAGCAGTAGAGATTCTGTAGAAAGTAGGAGAAATGAGAAGACTGAAACATAGTGAGAGGGATATTTAAAGGATTTTTCTAATTCTAAGAGAAGTATATGTTTTAACAGAAGAACATAAAAGAAGCAAAGATGTAACCTAGTTTGAGAGCAATGGTTGAGGAAGGTTGGATGGTGAGGGGAGTATAGAGAAGATGAATGAAAATAAAGAGCGATATTTAAGTGATAAATATCATGGTTGCCCCCAAAGAGCAAAGGTAAACCAGGAAATGCCCCAAAAACTATTTTTAATTGCCTATATGACATACAATATTTTATTATTAAATTATTACACGTTTTTCTTTTACAATTTTTGTACCACAAAAAAAAATCTCCAAACCGGTCATACCGGAGGGTTTATAACATGGAATTTCAGTAATTGATAACCAAAATCACAAAACTGAGGCTACAATAATCAAGATCTGACTAACGTGAACGTGGAGAATCTTTCCAGATTAGCTATTTTAGCCTCAGTTTTAAAAATTTATATTTTGATTCACTGTCTTTCAGAGTTTGTAGAATAACTCTGTATGTCAACATTTTTACATTTTTGCTAAGCCATTTCACTGGAAATGGAAAGGACAGTTTATGAAATGTGTAACGCTGTGCCGTCCGAAGGTTAAATAGGCATGTAATCTTTCACCTACATTTTCTGCCAACACCCTGGCATAGTTCTGCTTTAATCCAGTTGCTTTCAGAGTGACCATTTTTTCATAATTAAAAGAAGAAACACAAATGCTAGTATTGTGGGCTACAAACATTTTCTCATAAGGATTTAATTTGCTTTGAAATATAATCACAGAACTGCAAATGCTGCTTCTACTTTGTAGTTCAAAAATATGCTTTACTGATTAAACCATTTTTTTAGGTGATGGCATGTTTGGGAAAATGTGTTTTCTAAGATAAAATAAGCACTCAAAGATTGGCAATGAAAATAAAATAAACAAGAAACAGTTATATTCCACCTACTTTTTAACCTTCTAAAATTGTTCTGTTATAAATCATCCCTCTCTATAAGTTCCAGAAAGTCAGTTTTAACTTATTATAAAGCTTATTATATTGTATTTAAGTTTTTTGTAGTTTATAGAGTATTATCAAGTTAAAGAGTGTTTCAAATTCTTACACTCATATAATACTTATTAAAAAAAATCATATATATATATATATATATATATATATGTGTGTACGTATTACATTATATAAATGTGAAAACATTAAAATGCAGTTTATTAAATGAGAGTTTTATGATATTAATATCAAACTGTGCTTTCTAGTTGTTCCTAACCTATTCAACAAAGTTTGAGGTAGGTTGACTATGCCAGCTTATTCAAACAGGCTTATTCACTAAGGTGTGAATTCAAAGTGGATTTCAAATTTATGGTCAAAATAGAAAAATTCTGCAAGTCGGCTATGCTTCCAGTTCAAATACTTTGGCCTCATCTTTAAAATTCTCACTTTTACAATTCTCACTTTGTTTAATAACCCTGAGAGAGCACCGTAAAGGATATTCTTGGAATAAAGTGTATAAAGAAGAAACAGATCTTCATATTACTTTTACTTAGCTGTTGGTGTGATTGATGGCACTATGGGATCACATATTGATCATTAATTGCCTAGACAGGCTTGAGTGGTCCTATAGGAAGCTGACAAAACTAAAGATAAATCCAGAGGATCAATATAATTCGTGCTGCAATAAATAGTCAATACAGTTGATGTCCAGAAAATACGCTTTGCTTATTTCAAATGGTATTTGTTTATACTTAAAAGGATATTAGTATATGGGCAATTTGCTCCAATTTTATTGATTTCTTCCCACAGTTACATTTAAAATAATTTATATAGTGCCAAAATATTCTGCAGTACTGTACAATAGGTACAGCAAGACAAAAAAATAGCTTGCTTAAACGAGCTTATAATTTACATTCTATGGTCCTCAGAGTAACAGGGCTATTCAATAAATAACTTTTTTACAGTTTAGCTATTTAGACCTTACATTTGAAATTCACTTTAAATTCACTTTTAATTTTCATTTCAGTGAATTCCCCTGTTAGAGAGTGTGCTTAAAAATGTGCTTAAAATTTTCCAATCTCAATGTTTTAAACTTGAAGTATAGATTCTTGTTACATTTATTTAAATCATATATTCTTTAATTATTTCTTGAAACTGTACTTAATATATTATAAAATATATAGATTTCAGTTGATTAGACTTTTAGAAATATGGAGCCTATGTTTTTTTCTTTAGGTACCCAGACTTGCCTTGATGGTTCTCTGTTGTGTGTTTCCACCAATACCTGCATTCCTTTATACCAGCGATGTGATGGTAAAACAGACTGCTATGACTTCCGAAAAGACGAATCTAGTTGTTCAGGTATGGAAAATAAATATTCATTGTATACAGATTTAATAAACAGTGTACAGCTTGAGAAAAAAAGAAAAAAAAATATTGAAAAAGCAGAAATCTCAAGATTCTAAGCTCCTACATTTTATTTCTGTTTATATTCTAATAAACAATCAGGATATTGTGTACATGCTATGTAAAAAAATAAAATTCAATTCACATTTTTTCAAATTGACAAAGTTACAAATATCCTGAAAATACTTCAGATTCAATTTAACCCCTTAAGGACCAAACTTCTGGAATAAAAGGGAATCATGACATGTCACACATGTCATGTGTCCTTAAGGGGTTAAAATACAGAACATTTTGAGCATTACGGTTTTACAATATTATTGAACTGAAATAGCAATATTAGCATGGCAAGAATAAGTGCATGAAATGGTAAGTGAGATTGGGAACTACCTTGATGTTATATAACATTTATTTATTATAGAATTGGTATTGCAAAGTTTGTCCGTGAAAACCTATTATAAAGGTCTACATACACCTATGTTAAGATACATTGTTACATTCCAGGTTTGTCTTATGGTTTGTCTTATTGTTGATCAAGATTCAGATTTCTTTTAAAATTTAAGGAATTTACATTTAGGAGGAACATTTAAGAAACGACAATGGGAAATAGCAAACCAAAATGCTATACAACTACATGCAGCTGAACTTCCATTCTTCTTTGCAAGAAACTATTCATCCTTGGCATCATTTAGCAATGTAAGATGGAAATTGGGGAGATGGTCTTTCCAAGCACACTCCTCAGGAAAGAGAAAAACCTCTACGAAAAAAACAGATATAGCAACACAGCCACCATGCATGGAAGTATACATCTTATTAGTATTCCTGGCACTGCAGGTCCTTACAGTGTCCCTCTCCCTCCCACCCCCCATCCCATGTTGCTGAAGAGGTTAAAACCTCCAGTGACTTACCTGAGTCCAGCGCTGATGTCCCTCGGCGCTGGGTCAGGCTTTGCCTACTCTCTTCCCCTGCCAACGTCAGCCGGCAGGGGAGACCTAATGCGCATGCGCAGCATTATTCAATGGGGATTTCGGCGACACTGGAGGTCCTTACATAGCGTAAAGACGTCCAGCGTTGTTTAAAACACTTTTCGTGTTCTAAGAACATGGAGGTCATTCTAGTGGCTGTCTGATGGACAGCCACTAGAGGAGGACTTAACCCTGCAAGGCAAATATTGCAGTTTATAAAAAGTTGGCACCCAAACCACTCCAATGGGCAGAAGTGGTCTGGGTGCCTGGAGTGTCCCTTTAACTAAATGTAGACTGAATTTGGAGACACAGTATGTTTATGGAGTTTGTTCTAGAAGTTTTCTAGATTTGCATTTGTTGCTCTTACTGGCAGTTGTAATATCAGGGTGCTACAATGTGTACATGAATATTTTACCATGTATTCTTGTATATAAAAATGAATATCTATTTGTTTTGCTGGGAAAACGTTATTATATTATTATTGGTAACTTATTTATTTATTTTTTATATTACTTTACAGTTTGTCCACCGGGGTACTGCAAAAATGGAGGAAAATGTTATAAAGCAAAAGGCGTCCCTTTATGCAAGTAAGGTTTACATATCTAAAACACAGTTAAGGGTAAAACTTGAAAATGAATGTAAAGCATTAAAGAAAATAAATGTTCTGCTAATGTTTGTCTTTATAGGGTTACTCCTAAAGCACTTTCACTTGCAGGTTTATGTTACATAAGACAAAAGTCATGCAAATTCCCAGCAGTTCAGTAAAATTGAAAGAAGTACATGTGTGTGTTTAATTATGTGTATTTGTAAGTGTGTGTGTGTGCGTGCGTGTGGGGGAGGAAGAGGGGTCTAAAACATGGTCCAACTGATTTTAAAGGAACACTATAGTCACCTAAATCACTTTAGCTAAATAAAGCAGTTTTAGTGTATAGATCATCCCACTGCAATTTCACTGCTCAATTCACTGTCATTTAGGAGTTAAATCACTTTGTTTCTGTTCATGCAGCCCTAGCCACACCTCCCCTGGCTATGATTGACAGAGACTGCATGAAAAAAAAACTGGTTTCACTTTCAAACAGATGTAATTTACCTTAAATAATTGTATCTCAATCTCTAAATTGAACTTTAATCACATACAGGAGGCTCTTGCAGGGTCTAGCAAGCTATTAACATAGCAGGGGATAAGAAAATCTTAATTAAACAGAACTTGCAATAAAGAAAGCCTAAATAGGGCTCTCTTTACAGGAAGTGTTTATGGAAGGCTGTGCAAGTCACATGCAGGGAGGTGTGACTAGGGTTCATAAACAAAGGGATTTAACTCCTAAATGGCAGAGGATTGAGCAGTGAGGTTGCAGAGGCATGTTCTATACATCAAAACTGCTTCATTCAGCTAAAGTTGTTCAGGTGACTATAGTGTCCCTTTAAAGGCAACACTATGAGCCTATACTATTTGGCCTCTCCTGGTACAAAAGTACATTCAAGACCAGTTTCATCTCTTACTTTCATACAATTCTGATTAACCTAGGAAAACCTAAAAAAGGAAAAAAAAATTTCTTCACCCACAATTATATATAGATATAAAAGCATATGACATGTTAAACACATATGAAACGTGACATTAAACTTTAACAAAAAGCATGGTTATAATAACATTAAATAACATTGTTAAATACTATTAGATCTTGGATATTGAAAAGAGAATCTGTCTTTTTTAACCATAATCGGTGCTTTTTGAATAGCGTGATAATGAACCAGTTTAAAGCAATCTTATCTACCTTTTTTAACCAACTTTTATATACAAGTCAGTTAAAAAAAGAGATCACCATTGTGAATAGAGCCTTGTGTTTATACCGTGTTTCCCCGAAAAAAATAGTTCTGAACAAAGACCCATCGAAGGGCAGGCTATTTTAGCTGCTGTCTGTTCTCGGAATACTCTTGCGACCCGTTTTTTGCTCTCCATTAGTTTAAAGGGTAATCTAGATGTGGACCCCTTGCTCACGGTGCCTAGAGAGATATCAGCACTGATGATGCCTAACAAGGCTGAAACGATTGTCTGGGGTTGCTGTGTCTCTCGTGCAGAGAGAACTTGCTGGCATTTCAGATCTGGACTGCCCGTATGGGTGGGACCAGTCTGATATGCTTCAGATATGTTCTCTCTGTAATGGCACAAGATGAGCTAAAACCAGCTTGAGTTCTTAGCGGGGACCCACCGAAGGGCATGCTATTTTAGCTGCCGTCGGTTTTCAGAATACTCTTGCAACCTGTTTTTTGCTTATATTTATTTTTCATCAAGAAGACACACTATGGCTTATTTTCAGGGGATGTCTTATTTTTTATTAAGTATGGTACAACAATTTATTCAAATATAGTTAAAAGCAGAGATAGGCCAGCAAAGCTTTTCCCCTATCAACTGGTGTTTGTGTGGGGTGAGAGAAACCCACAGACTGTTGCTGGTCAGTGCTGGGGAGCAGCAGCTTTACTGGTGTTTGTGGGTAGTGAGAGAGACCCACAGACTGTTGCTGGTTGGTGCTAGGGGAGAGAGACCCACAGTGCTGAGTAAAGTGGCAGCCACAGCTTTACTTCTTCCCCCTGAGGGGACACACTACCTAAAGCAGAGCGTCCTGCTCCTCACTTCACTGAGGAGACTTTTACTTTCACTTTCTATATCTCCCTCTATGCCTCAGCTTGCAGCACTCACAGAACCACCGGGACCTGACAGGGGGAGCTGACCTTGTTGATGGGGCTGCCCGCACCTCTCCAGTCACCTCCGAGATAGCAGCTGTCACAATTGGGCCGATGAGAAGGGCTGCCCGTATTCTTTACCGCTCCGCGCCGGTACGCTGCATAGCCACACCTATCACTATGTCTTATTTTCGGGGTATGGCTTATATTGCGCAAATGCTTAGAAATCCTGCTACGGCTTATTTTATGGGTATGTCTTATTTTCGGAGAAACACTGTAGGTTTGCCCTAGTATATGTATTTAATTACTATAAAGGTTCATACCCTGCACAACCTTGTAATATCCACATAAGGGAATTACGTTAGCTGCCTTGAGTTATATACCTACTCTGTAGATCAAAATGAGAATCTCCAAATTGGCCATGCTACGTCTTGGAGTATGAACTGTTTAACGTCTGTAATCCAGCACTTCAAGAGTTAAAGTGTAGTGGTGTGGCTGACACAACAGCCTCAGTTCTGCTCGAAGCAGGGACCTTTGGGACTTGTTATTCAGTTGCCAACTTTTTACCTATGAAACTGTTACCTGAGCTTTCTGATACCATGTACAGCAGAGTTACTGGCCACTGCACTGCGGGTTAGAAGGGAAGAACATACAAGGAATGGTAGAGTAACCATCAAGAAGGAGGTATTGCAGAATGGAGGAGGTGGGACAGAGGAGATAGGATGTTAGGATTTAGATGGAAAATGTTGTAAATTTTTTTGTTTTTGCAAAAACTATAAGAAATTGAGTACGCAGAAAATACAGCAATTTTTTTAGGCCAAGATCTTTAAAAAGCATAAATGTTGTGTCGGTGTCTAGAATGGCCCTTGTAAGGATTTATGTTAATTTCTAACTAGACAGTAGGTACAAGGTTTATTATAGACCATGAAACATTCCTTCAATTGGAATGTAAGCGCAGTCTGCTTCTGAGTAATACATTTCATTACACCTATTGTCCCGAACAACGACAGACCTATTACAAATGAAATATATAGCTTTATTAAAGCCAATTCTCTATTTTAATGCGAGCCGTGCTGACACAAATGAAAAGGAATAAAATTAATACAGGTGCTTATCATAAAAGCTGTATAGTTTTATGAATATCATTTAAAATGTAAAAAAGTTTTAAAGTTTGGATGCCAACATTTACGTCAAAAGCTTTTAGATTTACAACATAACTGTCTTTTTTTTTAATATATTTGAGCTGCTGAAGCAGTATATTTTTTAATATCATTTATAAATAGGTATTTTTTTTAAGATATGATCCTCATTTACTTATATAAATATATACATAGAAAATGCTTTGTTGAAAACACCTGCCACCTTCCATTTGGTCAGACTCAGATTAAAGGAACACTCCAAGCACCATAACTACTGTAGCATACTATAGTGGTTATGGTGCCAGATGTTCCCTGGCTCTCTACAGGAGTAACTTGTCAAACTATTGGATCAGTTTTGCAACTTCCCTAGATAACGCAGGGATGCAGCCTCCAGTGGACCAACCATGCTAAAATGGTTTGAAAATTATTCTAGAAGGGTATTTCTGCACAATAACCACTACAGAGGGATGTAGTGGTTATGGTTTTTAAAGTGTTTCTTTTATATTCAGTTGGCCCTTAAAAATGCCATCATATTTGGTTCCTGATCCTTGAATGATACTCTTTATTCAGAGAGCAGCATTAAGAGATACTGAGAATAGTCATACAAGCATATACGTTTTACACAATGCCACATTGTTAGATTGGCTAGACTATAGTTTCCGTTGGGTTTACTAGAGACTGTAACAGGTTTGTTAAATAAAAAGTTTGTCACAGAATAGAATGTTTTTTTTTCTTTTTAAATCAGAGGCTTAGGTCAAACCATTTGAACTTGGTGATCAATATTCTGACCATCTATCAATAGCTTATTCCTTATACGTTGTATTTTTATTTTTTTTATTATGAGATTTGCTGCAAAGAAAAATCTAGATTTATTGCTATGCAAAATAGAAACTGACAAAATTCTTTATGAGCTGGAAACCACTATTAAACCAATAAATAGACAGCTTAGAACTTTTAGAAAGTTAGTTTTCTTACGTTGTAATACTTAGTCAAATACATTGTATTACTTAGTTCCATTGTAAAATTACACTTAATTTTATGTAGACTATTACTGCAACCACTTCCCCACTTACCGCTTAGAAATATTATGCATGTAAAAATACAGAAAATGAGATTTTCAAGAAGGCCCAGTAGTCTGAGATGCTGACTCACCAGAACCTTTCCCAGGAAGTGGGTTACAATCTGCCAACTCAATGGTGTAGAAATCATCTTACACTTTTTCTCTCCACTTTTCCATTTCTCCATCCCTCTCAAACCCATCTTCCCCATCCTGTTTTGTATCGTAGGAGTAATTGTTCTTTTTTCATCTGTACTTTTGGGGAATGTTACATTGTTGCAATTTATGCAGGGAACATAGTTTGCTTCCTCTCCCTTATTGACGTGGAGTAGCTCACAATATGTTATGTTGACCACCTTTTCATATCCAACATTTTTTATTTATGTATTTTACTCCCTTTCTGAATTTAATTTCTTAAATTTTTTACATTTAATGCCCTGTTACAAAACGCATCAAGCTCAAAGTAAAATTGTACTCTGTTTACTGAAACATAGAAACATAGAATGTGACTGCAAATAATAACCATTCGGCCCATCTAGTCTGCCCAATTTTCTAAATACTTTCATTAGTCCCTGGCCTTATCTTATAGTTAGGATAGCTTTATGCCTATCCCACGCATGCTTAACTTCTTCACTGTGTTAACCTCTACAACTTCAGCTGGAAGGCTATTCTATGCATCCACTACCCTCTCAGTAAAGTAATACTTCCTGATATTATTTTTAAACCTTTGTCCCTCTAATTTAAGATAATGTGCTCAATGTTCTCCTATAGAATTTTCTATTCAGTAAGAAGGGAAAAACTTTGCTATGCTAACAGAATTCGGCTTATTAAAGAGAACGTCTAGGATAAATATTGCATATTATTTTGAATCCACTTGAACTAGACAGTTAAAATAATAAAATATGCTTCTATTTATATTTTAAAATGATCTCTTCTGCATGTTCTGCAGCTAAGCCCTCTTTTTGCCCAGTACTAACTTCCTTGTTTATGCCGACAGTGTCCAATTGTTTCTCAATATATATTGAGGAAAAAGTGGGCATGTTTGGAGGATTTAAAAATACAATAAAAATAGATATTAGTAAAAAATAATTTAAAACATTATTGAATGATTAACTACTGGATCTTTTACAAATTATATGAGTAAAATAAAACCCTCACACTGTGCTGGAATTGGTCCCAAAATGCACTTATGTGAAAGGGTAACCACTCGTCAGGCCTGAAAGTTTTTGTGTTTTGTTAAGTTAAGCTTTGGTTTCTTCTTTCTTCATGTAAGACTTCTTAAAAAAGCAATAACCTGTCTTTTTCCCATTTGAAGGAAATCGGTTCAGTATGGCTATTTCCACATCTATCTCTCTTGGATATCATTAACTTCAGATATGTTTAAAAATGGTTTGACCTCTTACTGTGCATTGTTCACCTCTTCCTCTTGAGGCTGGAAGTTCTCACAAGAAGTTTTCGTTAGCTCCCCTGAGCTGAGTCCTGCCATGCAGCATTAGCTGTGCATTCTCTACCAATGAGCTAAGCCTAGCACCACTAGGCTAGCTCAGTTCAGAGAACTTCCAGGCTGGGATACCCAGCCAACCCCAGGTAAGTTGTCAAACTATTCTTAAACAGTTTGAGTACTTATTCTGTGCGGGTGCCAGGCCACACTTGGATCTGGTTTTCACTTCATTATTAACCCCTTAAGGACACATGACATGTGTGACATGTCATGATTCCCTTTTATTCCAGAAGTTTGGTCCTTAAGGGGTTTTAAAGGGACACTCCAGGCACCCAGACCACTTCTGCCCATTGGAGTGATCTGAGTGCCAACTCCCACCACCCTTAACCCTGCAAGTGTAATTATTGCGGTTTTTATAAACTACAATAATTACCTTGCAGGGTTATGTCTATCAGACAGCCACTAGTGGGACTTCCAGCTTCTTAAAACACATAAAGTGTTTTAAAATGACACTGGACATCCTCATGCTATGCATGAGGACCTCCAGCATTGCCGGAATCCCCATAGGAAAGCATTATTCAATGCGGAAGTCTATTGGGGAGGTCTATTAGGTCTCCCCTGCTGGCTGGCGTCAACGGGGGAGGAGAGTGGGCGGAGCCTGACCCAGCGCCGAGGGACATCAGCGCTGGATTCAGGTTTTAACCCCTTCAGCGACATGGGATGGGAGTGGAAGGGAGGGGGCACTGCAGAATTCTGCAGTGCCAGGAAAACTGATTTGTTTTCCTGGCACTGGAGAGTCCCTTTAAGATCTGGGTCTGTAATTAGGATTAATTCAAACCACATTTGAATGTTTATTGCCGTGTATTTCTAGTCTAGGGCCCGTACAGTGATTTCTTTTTTTTTATTATAATTTATTTATTTCAATTTTCCTTTACAAAACGTACGAAACATTAGCGACATCCATACTAATATAGAAAGACATTAGCAAATGTAAACATTTAGCACTAATTAAATAGGACATGTAGTATTACATATATACATATATATTAAATATTGCTCATTATCATATGTTTACACTATTGTTACTTGTTCCCTATTTCTTTACTAAATTATATTTTATTCATTAAACAAATCCATATACCAAAATAACAAAAACAATGGGCATGACAGAAATTTCCGTCCAACCGTCCTTCTAAGATTAAAGTTTTGTCTCCCATAATAGTCATCCTTCTTCACTATCTATTATTAATTTTATTAAATAGTTGGCTTTACTAGGATTCATTAGTATGATGTACTTAACAAACATACAGAAACAGACTTGTATTGCAGACTCTACTTGGGGTAGTACAGTGGCACCTCTATCTTACTACCTTAAAAGAAATGGAAAGGAAAAGATGAAAAAACGCACAT